TCCTTTCCTTTCCTTTCCTTTCCTTTCCTTTCCTTTCCTTTCCTTTCCTTTCCTTTCCTTTCCTTTCCTTTCCTTTCCTTTCCTTTCCTTTCCTTTTTCCCCCTCTCCATACAAAGGATTGAACCAAGGGCTTTCATATTGAGCTTTAGCTATCCAACCTGGTTCTTTTTTTCTTTTTTTTTTTTAAATTTTGAGACAGGGTCTCATTAAGTTGCCCAGATTGAATTTAAACTTTCAGTGCTCCTGTCTCAGCCTCCCAGAGTGATGGGATTACAGGTGTGTGCCATACCTGGCATAAGGGTGTCTTCTAGGAGGATCTAAGCTCCAGAGACATTTTTGCTGTTATTAACATTAGGATAATTTCAAAATGTGTTTTTTAAAAGATGAACTAGTATTGCACCTATTCTAGTTGGATATGTGGGATTTTATTTCCAAAGACAGCATAGCTAAAAAAGAAAGGCTTTTAAATTTCGTCTGCTGTCTTCTCTCAACCTTCATTTCCTAAAAGAGATTTAATAGTCTTTTAGTCAATAACATTGGCATGGTGTTTTTAAATTAACCTTTCATGTCATTATTAAATTTCTTATTCACAGCAACTCTGTCACGTGTAAAGCAAGAATTATTATAGCCTACAATTCCTGACAAGGGACACTCAATACTCAGCGGTCGTTGAGCCTACTCTTAGCTCAGGCCCCTGGCTCCAGGGTCCCTGCTTTTTCATTGTCATATCTGATGTGTTTCCACAGTGGAATATTCATTCTTGTCTACCTTTGTTCCACCCCCACTCTGCATTTTATAAGGCAACCTTCTGCTACCACCTTAGTGCTGTCCACGACTGACTCCCAGTGTACCCTTAACAGAAAGACATTCTTGACTACACTGAATTTCTCTCATCCCAAATTAAGTCTAGTCTCCACTCATTAAAAATACAGAATAATTGAAGATATTTTAAAAAATGTAATCTTGAGTGAATTCTCAAGAAACTTTCCTTGAGCTTTTAGGCCAAAGTATTCCAATTCATTTTGTTGTGTACCATTTAGTAAAGTGCGTATTTCCTATGTACTGTTTCTTTGGAGAAAGATAGCTATTGACTAATTAATTTATGTACAAAGTGCTATGAAAGGAACACGGAATGCACGGAAGCATATGGTCAGGGACGTACTGTAGCTTTGGATACGGATGTTTGTTGTCTGGGCTTTGGCTTTGTTATTATTGGCTTGTTTACACTTTCCATTGTCTGTTTTGTATCTAGTTGGATAGCCACGGCTCCTTTTACCTCCACAGTCTCCATCGTTCTGACTGTTCATTTGTTTGGGCTATTTATAAGAAAATGTTAGTTTTTTGACTAGTGGGCATTTAGAGTTTTTCAACAATTTTATAAGGGAGGGGCTGGGGATTTAGCTCAGCGGCACAGTGCCTGCTTGGCAAGTGCAAAGTCGTGAGTTTGATTTCTGGTACCAGAAAAAAAACAAAAACAAAAACAAAATTTATAAGGGAAATGATACTAATATTTTCATATTATACATGAGAAAATGAAGGCAGTGTGGTTGAAAAAAATCACTCAGTGTCACATAGCTAGTACATTAGAATTTTCTGGAAAACCTTTGTGTCCTCTAAAGCAATACTGTTGAATAGAACTTTTTGCCAGACTACAAATCTTCTGTTTTTCATATAGGAGCTGCTGATCACATATAGTTATTGGCACTTGAAATTGGCTAACCTGACTGAAACACTGAACTCTTAATTTTATCTGTGTTAATTACTTTAAATCTAAATTCAAATAGTCATTTGTGGCTGGTAGCTATCAAACAGCATAACTCAAAATACTAAATCCCTGAAGCTGAACAAATTTTTCTCTATTTAGTTGCTGAATTTATATTTCCTCGAGCTTTTCCTGATACTTCCCACATGATAATCAGACAAAAGAATGAAATAGTCTATGATTAGGAAGTATGTAAATGTTTGACTTATATTACAATAAAAATAAATAACTTATTTGAGGTGCATTTTATCTGTTTCTTGTTTGGTTGTAGGTTCTGGGAAATGGCTTTTACATTCACTGGACTCAAGCTGCAGGGATCACTAGGTCGATTTGGCAAAACAGCTACTACTGACATAGAAGGCTATGTGGAACTCCCGGATGGGAAGGCGAGTACTGCCACTGTTCTACAACAATCAGCTGTGTTTTCGAGTACGCATATGGAAGCGTGCATGTGTGAAAACACGTTGCATGTTTTAAAAAGCTCTGCCAATAGTAATAACAGATACTATGATTGTAATGGACGTTTAAGTTTACTTCCTTAGGTTATCAGTTATAATTAAATAGTTCCCTGAAGTTGTCAGAATCCATACATACAGGCATACTATTTTCTTTTTGCTACATATTATATATACACACCAAGTATATAAGCATTTTCATATATTAACATAGTGGCAGCCTTATCACGTTTAATTATATCATGGGATTGCAATGTTTATGTTTCTTCTTAAGCATTGTAATGGACTTTATTTATAAAGCAGTTTTAGATTCACAGCAAAATTGGGAGGAAGGTACAGAGATTTCCCATGCACCTCTGCCCCTACACAAGTGTTATCCACATCACCCACCAGAATGGTGCATTTGTTACAATTGAGGAGCCCATGTTGACATGTCCGTGCTTATAGACCGTATATTACACTGGTGTTCATTCTTCAGAGTGTGCATTTTCTGGGTGTGGACAAGTGTACAATGACAGGCGTTGTCTGTTGTTATACCCTTACGTACAGTAGTTTCACTGCCCTGAAAATTCCCTGTGTGTTGTTTATTCATCCTTTTCTCCCTTAGTCTTTGGCAAACCGTTGATCATTTTACTATCTCCATAGTCTTGCTTTTTTTAAGCATGTCATAGACAAGGCTTATATTACTTCGCTTTACCCTGTTTTTTCTTTGCCACGATGCTTCTAGTGAATTTAACGGGGCGAAAGGTTATATATACAGTCTGTTTTTTGGTGTTTTTAAGACAGGGTCTCACTATGCAGTTCAGGCTGGTCTTGAACTCACTTTGTAGCCCAGGCTGACTTCAAACTTGCAAAGATCCTCCTGCCTCAGCCTCCTGAGTCCTGGGATTACAGGCATCCACCACCATGCCCAGCTTTATATATACAGGCTTATGCCTTTTGTTTTTAACTGTCAGATATTATTCAGGAAGATCAGGCAAATTCACGGTGGCATTTGCAGGACTGCAATTCAATCTGTTAGTTTATTCTTTAGTTTTGCTAGATTATTTCTTTTCTTCCTGACAAAATTTAGGAGCTTATTGCCTGAAATGGTAGTTACTTTAGATTAGATCAGTTTTCCATTAATATTTTATCTGGTTTTCTATTAGAATGACATAAACACTTCTACATGCAGAAACGTGTTATACAGTATTACTTGCAGTTATTTCTGCTAGAAGTAAATGCCAGGATACAAATATTACTCCCAAGTTTACGAAACTAAATAGTCTAGTCATCTACCTGATGGAATAGTCTCAGTTTGAAAGCATGATGTATAAAAGGAGATAAAAAGCCTTAAATGCTGGTTACTTTGTATATTCAAATCTCTAAGATGAATTTAAATCAGCTAGCTTCAAACTCTGAATATTCTAAAAATTAAGCTAAAATAAAGATCAATACAGCCTTTTAAAAATATGGAATGAGGGCTAGGGATTTAGCTCAGCACCACAGCACCTGCCTGGCAAGTGCAAGGTCATGAGTTCGATTCTGAGTCCCGAAAAAAAAAAAATATGGAATGAGTTGGGCATGGTGGCTCATGCCTGTAATCCCAACACTCGGAAGGCTGAAGCAGGGAGATCATTGTGAGGTTGAGGCCAGCCTGGTCTACAAAGTAAGCTCAAGGCCAACCTGAACTGCATAGTGAGACCCTGTCTCAAAAAGACCAAAAAAAGAAAAAAAAAGGAATGAAATACACCCAGAGTTCACATAAATGTAATGGAGAAGAAATCCATGTTAAATGATAGATTCACAAGAGGAAATGTTTAAGGTGTTTAAGGTTAGGAGTAAATATCATATTTACGGGCAAATTAGAATAAGACATTCATGTTGGGGAGGAGTGAATACTTGGGGTTGAGAAGTGTGATTGAGTTGCAGTGCTTGAGTGCAGACAGAATTAATGTTCTTTGGAAGAGTTGTTTTACGACTAAGATAGTAGTAGGTAAATTTGGCTATAAAATATGGACTAAGGAAGGGAAATCTAGAGTCAAGGAGATGAGCTAGACAGGAAGCTGCTACCATCATTTTTTTTTTTTTTTTTTTTTTTTTTTTTTGAGGCAGGATCTCACTATGCAGTTCAGGCTGATGTTGAGCTCACTTTGTAGTCCAGGCTGGTCCCAAACTCACAGTGATCCTCATGCTTCAGCCTCCTGAGTGCTAGGATTACAGGTGTGTGCCACCATGCCCAGCCATTTAAAATGACATAATGAGGGTCTCGGTGTCTCAGGACCAAAAGGAAAGCTAGATTGGAGTTGATATTTCAGAAAGGAATGCTTTATAGGTTTTGGTCAACTTTGGTGGCATTTGTCACTAAACACTTGATTTTGCCAAAGCAGAGATGAAATAGTTGTCACTACAGACTAAGAAGGGGAATGGAAGAGAAAGTAGAGAGGTTAGATAATGAATACCAAAGCACAATTATGTAGGAGTGCAATGGCAAGCAGAAATACTGAAACAACACCCAGGATTTGGAGGCAGATTTATATAAATAAATGGGCACTGATTGGGATCATTCCTAGAATATCAGGCCCTGATCTCCGGTAGGCTAGGGCTTATATGGGAGAAGCGAGCAGGAAGTGCAGAGGCAGAATGGCTTGTCAATTGGGGGTTGGTTTATATAATGTGCATCACAGTGACCAGCCGTTTCTAAGAGACAGGAGCAACTGGAACTGGAACCGGAACTGTTACCAGGGCAACTAAAAAACTGAAGTGTACTGGCTGTGGGTGGGGGCATTTTCTGCTATGGGAGGAGTAAGTTCTAATGTTCTACAGCACATGAGGAGGACTGTAGTTCCCAACAGTTTGTTATTTATTGTATACAGTACTAGAACAGAGATATTCAAAGCCTCTCAACATCAAGAAATAACAAATGCTTAAGGAGAAAGAAATGCTAACTACCCTGATTTTACCATTATACATTTATATATATATATAAAATAATTACCATAGTGGACCCTATAATTATGTACAGTTTTGTGTGCCAATCAAAAACACATACTGTTTAAAAAAGAAGAAAACAAGTCTAAGGACTCTATTACAAGCGAGCTAAGGCCCAGTCACGGGTAAGATAGGCAGGTATGTGGACAAAGAGGTTGAAAGGCTTGAATAAAGTCACCCTTCCATCACGTGAAAAGAAAATGGGATCGCAGGACCCTGCCGCAGAAAGTTAGAAATTAAACCATTCTTCTGAAGTGTGTTATATGGAACATCAGTCTGTGCAGAAACTCTATGAAAATATGACGTTCCTAGTGAAGGTTCTAAGTATCTACAAATTTCTCTCGGTAATTCCTAGCAAATGTTTCTGTGCTAAAGCTTTCCAGGGGTCTGAGAGAAAATACCCTTGCTTGGCTGTTGACCTCTGTATCTGCCTTCTGAGGGGGGCAGAGTCAGTGCAAAATCTTTGACCCACGATGCTTGGACCAGAGCCTGACTACGCTGGGTAATTTGGGGCAAGTTCTAACTGTTCTGTGCTTCCATTTTTTCCTCTGTGAAATAGGGATAATAATGGTCAGGATTACCATTGGCCCATACATTTATGGGCACGAGAAAAAGCTGTTTCTTCTAAGGAAAATAAAGAACCCTACTTGCACAACTGTATATGGTATTGCTGAACTGTTTACCTAGTTTTTGTGGCTTTTGGCATTAAGTAACATATACAGTATAAAGAACCCAAGCCATGCTTGGCACAGAGTCCATATTCAAATATGATTCATACAATATTTATTAAACATTCTGAAAACTAATCTTTGGTAGTGTGCACTTCAGGAAATTAGATTCAATAGAGCAACTTGAGTTGCTTTCTTGTATTATACTACTATGCTCTACTCTGTTCAATTCAGTAATGGTACAAGAACTTATCTAACTTCTTAGCCCAACTTTTTTTTGTTGTTGTTTTTTGTTTTTCCGGTACTGGGAATCAAACTCACAACCTTGCGCTTGCCAGGCAGGTGCTGTGCTGCTAAGCTAAATCCCCAGCCCCAAACAGATGAATAGCCCAATTTTTTTTTGTTGTTTTTTGAAAAATGACAAATCTTTTTTTCTTTTCTTCCGGTACAAGCGATCGAACTCACGACCTTGCGCTTGCCAGGCGGGCACTGTGCCGCTGAGCTAAATCCCCACCCCCTAACTTCTTATAAAATTTAATAATACCACTTAAGTAGAATCTAGTTTATCAAGGACTTTAAACATGTCTTTAATTTTTCCATTCCTATACTATATCCTTAAGAGATATACAAAGAATTTACCATATACATATATGAAAAATTTCCAGTAATATATAGCCTATTTACAGTAATCTTAAACAGTGCAGGATGCTGGGAAATACATAAAAATGTGACTTGTGGTTCTCTGGGGTAGAGAGTTTTCATTTCTATGTGTTCTTATGTTTTCATATTCAAACTCTTTACTTTCAGAATCAAGAAAAAAGTCCTTAAATATAACTCATATGTACTCTTTGAGATATAAATACATGCATTTTTTTCTGTTTTATGAACACTTCTCTCTTTTCTGCACACCTGCCAGGTGCTCTCAGGGTCTGAATGGGGCAACCTGCTGCTCTGGGAAGGCAGTCTCATCAAAGTGGAGCTCTGTCGAACTGGCACGAAGTCTTGTCACCACGGTCCCATCAACCAGATAATGCTGGATGAGGGCGAGGTCATCACTGTTGGGTCAGATGGTTGTGTTAGGGTAAGTTTTCTTGATCCATCTAAGACAGATCATCCAAGTGGTTTTGTCAGACTTTAATTTCACATGAAGGTCACTTTATGAAGGAGGTTAATGGTCGTATACTCCTAAGACCAACTCATTTTGAATAACGCTTCTCATCTGGTAAATATTTACTTTCTTGTTGAAATTAGTTTAATGCATCTTAGCCTTGAAACTTTTTGAAGACACCTCTTGTTCTTTTTGATTTGTTGTTGAAATAACAGCTTCAGGCAATGCAAGTCCATGTTAGCACAGTGTAAATTGTTTGGGTTTCCCTGTGGATGCTGCCTTCTCCTTGCTTCTTACACTAAGGAACCAAAATACTTTTACTTGTAGACTCTAGGCTGCTTAAAGCCTAGACCAGCGATGGCAGACCTTTTAGAACTTTCAGTGATAATAAACAGCTGGCTGCAGCACACGTGCCATAGGTTCGCCATCACCGGCCTAGATTAAGCTGGAACACTGACCTGCATTTACGTTCCCTCGGTGTTAGGAGCCGCTAGAGTTGGTCATATGTGTGAGGGCTGGATGGAATCAGAGTGCCTCAAACAGTCAGGCTACCTCAGTATTAAGAAAAAGGATCCTGCCTGGACAATTACAGTCATTAGTTGCTAGGCAACATTACCTCTCCTGATACTGACTTTGCATGAGTATAAATAAACGCCCCTACTGTTAAAGTCAGTCCTCCCATCAGGTAAGAGGTAACTCCACCTGACCACAGCTCTTGTCTCTTGTCTTTATTTTTCTCATACCCACCACCATTTCCCTCTGGGGTACAAGAGACCAACGAGGCTCCCTACACCTTGGTTGCTGTTTTATCACACTGTGTCTGACCTTTTGTGAATGTGTACCATACAGAGGCTCACCATACTAACTTGTTTTGTAGTCTACTTGGTACATATTCTTTCTAGGGCCTTCCCTTATGGCCACATTATATGAAGAAAGACCTATTAGAAACTTTGAAATAGAGTTTATTTTAGGCAAGCCAGTACTTTGCCACTAATCTCTATGAAGAAAACTACAAATCATTTCTTATACCTCAGTTCAGAGTAAAATACCAGGATTTGGGTTTTGGTGATAGTTACTTCTACTCATTGTTAATGTTTATGAAACAAGAAGAAATGGCTTTTGAAAAAATCAGAGCCTTTTTTATCTTAGAAAACAAAAGAAACTACTGATCAGTTGAAATATTTTCTTGTTAATTTTGCAAGATATGGGACTTTGAGACAATAGACACTGCTGATACTATAGATGACACTGGATTATTGGAGATTGAGCCTATTAATGAGCTTAAAGTAGGCAAGAATGTCAATCTCTTCTCGATGATAAAAATGAATGAAACTGGAAATAACTTTTGGTTGGCTCAGGTGAGTTAAATTCTTCTCTCTTGGTTCTTTAAAGTTACCTGGACATAAAATTAAAATAGCAGTATAAGTGATTGTCAGGACTAGAAGTCTATTTGACTGTATTATAAATGTGTTTGACTAGAAGTCCATTTGACTGTAAATAGTTGCTTATTTCTAAGATATATAAAATTAGCAAATGTCAGTTATACTTTATAATATGTATAAGATTTTGCTATTATTGTTTGTACTTACTTGAAATCACAGGAAGAAAAATATTTAATTTGATGAAAGTTCAAAATGGTAAATGAAAATTTTATTAGCTGATTAATTTTTTTAGGATGCCAATGGAGCCATTTGGAAGCTTGACCTTAGTTTTTCAAATATTGTAAGTTGCCTCTTTTTTTCATTTTTCCCTAATTTACATGCCATTCTTTGATGATACTTTATCTTTCTCCATAGTAGATCATTGTTACCATCTCTATCTCATTGAGCAATCAATGCACTTTTCACAAACATATAGGATTTTCATGTGTATTATCTCATATGATCCTCACAGTTACCCCATTTAGTAAGCATACATCATCTCATATCACAAATGAAGAAACATAGACTGGTGTCCAAATGACTTGCGCAAAAATCACAGTCCTTCATTAAGTGTAAAGGCAGGACGCCTAATTCCAAAGTCCTGTGCTCTTTCTAACCTATTCTGCTTTCTCTTGCTTCTGTTCAAATGAAGTCACATGTGTGTCAGGTTCTAGGTGCATTTCTTAAACTTGGCCTTAACACTGTGTTATGTTGCCTTTGAGATATGATGTAGTTTGTCTGTGCTTAGACCCAGGATCCAGAATGCCTCTTCTCCTTCCATTATGGAGCTATTGAAGCCTTGGCTGTTTCTCCTCTCACTTATCTCATGGCCACTACTGCCTTGGACTGTAAGTGGGAGCGCTGGATGAAAATATACTCAGCCTTGTTTTGTCTTATTTTCAAGTGAGTTGTAAAGTTGTTTGATTAAGAGCATTTGAGAATTTTTCCAAAAGGTAAGCCTCTTAGAGCAAGTGAGGCGAACTGTGTGGTGGACAGGGCACAGAATGCAGCATCCATGGTGGTTGTGAGAGATTAAAATAAGATGTAATCTATAAGCTGTCCATGAACACACTCTTCATCCTGATATCATCCATACGCATGCTCTTCATATTCGTTCTGTTGTCTTTCTTGACAGTTTACAGTAAATCTGCGTAGACTGTGCAAGGTGAAGGTGACTTACGAGTTATCAGTTGTCTTCTTTATTACTCATATTTGTAAATATGTTTGAATATATTCAAATTCAATATTACCTGATTGAAGACATACATGGGAAGTTTTGACTAATGAAAGCTATTGTATTATCAATTTAATTATTTATGAAATTTCTTGTTACAATACTCAACATTTAAAAAGTGAGCCAAGATTATTTCAAGAGATATTATGTATGTAATGTTTCCTTTTAAATTGTCTTTTTGTAGGCTCTGTTCGAATCTATGATTTTGCTGGCAAAATTCCTTTGGTTCAGATGAAATTCAAACAAGGTGGTACTGCCCTTACCTGGGCACCCAGAACGGTAAATTTGATATTACAATGAACTTTTACCAGGACTTTTTGATAAATATAGCATATGAATGCTTTCTTATGGAAGTATAGATATTTCCTGACTCAAAGATAACAATACGCAATATAATAAGCATTGTTAATTTCCTGTCATCTTGTTTTGAAATTCTGTATCATTTTTATTGTTTTTTAAATTCTTTTTAAAATAAAAAAAGAATTTTAGAGAATAAAACATTTAAGTTAGCTTATTTCATTCTGAATGTACTAAAAATCATGTAACCTCATTATGTTATGAGTTTGGTCATACTTTTCAGGAAAATTTTCTTTTTTATGCCAACTGCAGATTAGCAATATTTCCACACTGCGAAGTAATTGCCTAGTAAACTTAGTGTGTATATGACTGATAGGTCTCTGGTTTCATTCATTCTATTATTATTTCCAGTTTGTTTACAATATGCTGGGCTTTCCTGTAGTTTTGGGGACTAATGCATTGAACAGAAATACAAACATATTTGCCTCTGTGGACCTTGCACTTTAGTAGGATGGAGGCAGAGACAGACAATTAACCAAATTATAAGTAAAATGTGTTCAATAATAATAATAGTAATGGGGAAAATTAGACAGGAGCAAGGAGTTATTCCATTTACCTACTCTGTCATAAACTATCCCAAAGTACAGTGTCATAAAATAACAGTTAGTGTTATTTTGCTCACTTTCTCTTTGGATAGGAAATCCACACAGGTGCCAGCAGGGATGGATTTTCTTTGCTTCAGAGTGTCGAGGCCTGAGGAAGGATGACTTGAATTGGCCTGGTGTAATTTGGAGACTGCTTGGTCACAAGGCTGGCCCTTCCGGGTTGGGTGATTTGAAGGCTGGACTAAGTGGGGACTGTAACAGGAATGTTGACCTAAGAGCCTCTCCATATGGACTGAGCTTTATCCCAGCATGGCAGCCACACACATTACATAGCAGCTGAAGGGTTTAAGAGTCAGTATTCTAACGAACACGGCAGAAGCTCATGTGCTTTTATGACTTATCCTCAGGAGTCAAAGTATCATTTTTACCATCCTTGATTGGCTGAAGTACTCACATGGTCAAAAGCCCCATCCAGATTCAGAAAGAGGGGACTTTAAATGCCATCCCTGTGGGAAGCGTGTCAAAGAATTTGTAGTCAAATTTTTCAGTGCCTTGGTGACATTTGAGGGAATATTTAATGCTTATTTTTTAAGAAAAGGTTTTGGGCACGAAGTAGATATAGATATGACAGAAATGGAGGAGAATTTCATGATGGGAGCAAGACCAGAAAAAGAACTTAGGTCAGGGAACAGAACCAGCACGATGAGGCTAGAATAAGTAGGAATGATAAAGCATTTGGATTGGCAGAGCTGGACACTCTTTACCCTAAACTCGTTATACTTATTATTTGAAGTCCATGGCCCATGTTATTGAATCATTTCTCCAGATGGTTGTGTGATGTTCATAGACCACTTCCTTTTTTAGACTTATACCCAAGTAATCATCACACTTTTGCACCCCATTGCTTTTCTGGAGCATCCCACTGCATTTTTTATAACTTAGCTCAGGTCAAACATCACCTCTATATAGCCCTCTGTGAACCACCCTCAAATAGAGTTAGGTCCTCATTTCTTGGTGGGTTTTCCTCAGAAGGCTGTGTACATTTCTCTTAAGCACTTACCACAACACACTAAAATTACTTGCTTTATTGTCTGTCTTTCCTACCAGACTACTTTTTAAAATGATGACAACCATGCTATATTCTTTGCACTTAGAGTGCAAATGTACAGGTACTTGTACCCTTATACAGTTAGTAAATGTTTGTTGAATGGGCAATATGCAGTCAGAATTGGATGGAGTACAGTTTTCTTATTCCTAAAATGCTCATAAATTACTGGCCTCAAGGATGGTGTCTGTGCTCTAAAGGGTGCCTCAGGTTTTGCCTTTCCCTGGAATAACCTCCAAGATAGAGGATTTATTAATTCAGACATTACTAGGTGTACAACTCTAGCTCAGACTTTCCCTGTAAGCTGCAGACAATATGTCATTTTCATTTTGAGATCTCAAGGAGACCTCAAAGTCAGTATGTCTAAGACTAAATTCAGGATCTTCTGCTCACACCTATCCATCTGTCTGTCTCTCTCTAAAACAACAATAGCCACAAGAAACCACACACACAGACACACACACACACACACCCCTTACTTCTAGTGTTCTGCCTCAATAATTCCATTATCAGTCATCCCTGACACTTCCCTCTGCCTCACCCTTTTTATCCAGGCATCACCAAATAGTCATTTTATCTCGCTAAAATATGTCTGCATTCCTTTGCTCCACTGTACTACCTCAGATCAAGTGACCTTGGACTATAGAAGCCATCTCTTTTTTCTCATCTTTTTATTGGTATATGTTTGCAAGACCTAAGTTTAAAATGCATCCATATACACACAGCATCTTTACCCCTTTTATTTCTCCTTCTCTTCCCCTTGCTCCTGCCTCTCCTCCTATCTCCACGTCCCTTTCCTGCCCTTCCAGTGAACTAACTCTTTGATTCCTTGACTCTTTGTATTTTTTTTTTTAGTTTCAGTTTCATTAATTTCCGTTCTGATCTTTGTACTTCCATTCCTTCCATCAGTCTCAAGTTCGGATTGTCTTGTCTTTTAAGGACCTTGAGGTGCATCATCATTTGGGATTGCTCTGCACTTACAGCTGTAAACTTTCCTCTTAAAGATGATTTCATTGTGTCCCAAAGGTTTTGCTATGTTACGCTTTTGTCATTGGATTCTAGGAATACTTTTGGTTTCTCTCCTGATTTCTTCTGTGATCCATTGATTATTCAATGCATAATTTCTGTGGCTTCTTTTGCTGTTGATCTCTGGCTTCATTTTGACATGATTCAGTAGTGTGCAGGGGATTATTTCAGTTCTTTTCCATTTATTTGAGCATGCTTTATGGCCTACGATATGGTCAGTTTTGGAAAAGGTTTCAGGTGTTGTTGAGGAAAATGTGTATTCTGTAGATATCTGTAGATATCAATAAATTGATTTGTTCAGTGGTACGATTTAACTCTGTTGTTTCTTTGTTTACTTTTAAAACATTTTTTGGCCTGATTTAAATAATTGTGAGAGTGGGGAATCAAAGTGTTCCACTGTGATTGTATTGGTGGCTATATTTCCTTTTAAATCCAGTAGTTTGGGCTGGGGATATAGCTCAGTGGCACAGCGCCTGCTTGGTAAGCACGAGGGTGTGAGTTCAATTCCTGGCATGGAAAGAATAAATTCAGTAGTTTTTGTTTTATGAAATTGGGTATGCCGACATTGGATGCACAGATATGTACATTTTAATATTTACATTTGTTATATTTCCCTGTTGAAATATAAAAAAAAAAAAATTGTTCCCTTTACCAGTATGTGATGGTTATCTTTGTCTCTTCTAATCATTGTGGCTTATATGTTGCTGTGTCTAAAAATAAGATAGCTGCCCTTGCTATTTTCAAGCTCTGGTTGAGTGTAGTGTCATTTTCCATTTGCTCATTTTTAGTTTATATACTTCCTTTTGGATGAGGTATATGTCCTGTAGGCAATATATGGTTACTGTTTTAAAAATCCAATCTGCAAATTTGTATCTTTTGATTGGGGAGTTGAGACCACTGACATTAAGAATTATTATTGTAAGTTGTTTATTGAGTATTGTTTTTGCATTATTTTCCAATGCTGATTCCTTTGATTTTTTTCTCTCTATGCCTTCTTGGTGCTGGTGGGCTTCCTGTCTCTGTTTAGGATTTGTTTAAGTATTTTCTGCAATTCTGGGTTACTGGTCATGGACTTATTTAAGACTTCTTCATTGTAAAAATTTTGTACTTCTTTGTAAATTTTGAAGGCTAATTTTGCAGGATATAAAAGCCTGGGCTGACAATTATTTTCTTTTAGGGCTTGAAAAACTTTATTTTTGTGCTCTCCTGGCCTTTAAAGTTTGCACTGAGAAATCTGTAGTTATTTTGAGGGTCACACACTTATGGATACCTGCCATTTTCCTCTTAACAGCTTTTAGTATTCCTTTTGTTGAATTTCTGGACTTTCGATTCTGATGTGTTGTGAAGAGGTTCTTTTCTGTTATGTCTATTTAGGGTTCTGTATACCTGTTATACTTGAATAGTGAATTCTTTCCCTAGACTTGGAAATTTCTCTGCTGTAGTTTCAGTGAATAAATTTTATACATTTTGAGTTATCTTCTAATTTTTGTTTATTACTGTAGTTCTGAAGTTAATTGTTTTTTGAGGCACCTAGCAGCTGTTGGATCCAGCTTGCATGGTGTCACATAAATTTTAGGGCATCATTGAATTTATGATCAACTACATCCACCTTGTCCTGACACTTTGTCCTCACATTGGTCAAGTCTGCTACCCATGACTTCCAATTAATTTTTCATATTGTCTATTTCTACTTGCTTTCACATTTTCTAATTCTTTACCAAAGTAGTAACTCATGTATTGACTTTTTAACTCAATTATTGTTTGTTTCATCTTTAAGACTGTCAAACATTTTATTAGAAAAAATCCTTTATCTGTTTAATTAAATCCTCTTTGAGCTTGTTAAACATCACATGCATTTGCTTATATGTTTCTTTTTAAAAAATCTCTTCAGACATTTGGCCAACTTGGTTTTTGAGTTCTTTGCATATAGCTTCTTCTACTTCAGTGTCTGTGAGATCAGCTTTTGGGGAATTAGGTTTTTTGGGGGTATCTTTTGTCTTACTTTTTCATGCTTCTATTGTTACACTGTGGTGATGGTTAGCTAGGGTAGAAAAACTCTGTTACTGCTGCAGAGATCACTTTAGTTAGAGTCTGTCTTCTTAAAATGTGTCTCTGGATTGGATTATGTTTGGGTGTTTAGACCGCTCTTCAACCTATTCAGCATAGTGTTTGAGGGTGTTCTGAATATCTAACCTTCTTCTTGGGGCTTGATTTTCAGCACCACTCAGATAATAGAAAACAAATGGCAGTAATATTGATGACACAAAACCAAACCAGATAATAGTGTACAGGAAAAACCAATTAAAAGCAACAACTATGCCACCATTAATACTAGAAGTCAGCAATAGTAATAAAATCAAAGACAGGGGCTGGGGATATAGCTCAGTGGCATAAGCACCTGCCTGGCAAGTGCAAGGTCATGAGTTCAATCCCCAGTACTACAAAAAAAAAAAAAAAAAATCAAAGACAAATTGGTTATTAACATGCTGTAAGAATCAATAATAGCTACAACTATACCATCTTAACAATAGAAAAGAGATCAGCAATAATAATGTAAAGACAAACCAAATATTGACATTCAGAAAATATCTACTAAAAGCAACAGCTATACCACTGTTTACAGTAGAAAAAAATTCAGAAATAATAGCATAGTCAACTAACTCGCTAAAAAGTAATAAATTTTAATAGTAATAAAAATGGAGGAGGTAAGGGACAGAGAAAATGAAAGCAGTAAAATTTGAAAAGGAAAGAAAATGAAGATGAAAAGGAGGAGAGAAAGATGAGATTAAAATTCAATTAAAGCATAAAAGAAAGTTAATAGAATTAGGTAAAAGTAACAGAAAAGGACAGACAAGTAAAAGAAAAGAGAAATAAGAAAAAAATATAAAGACAAAGAATAAGAGATAGGGAAAAAAGAAACAAATACAAACAACCCACAGAAGAGAGGAAAAAAAAATAGTCCAAAAAATTTCTCCATGTGTTTGGTGAGTGGTGTCCTTTGACAGCCTGTGGTGCTGGAATCTATCAAACTTGCGTCGTGGGTAGTGCATCACACTGAGGGCCTGTTTTGTTTCCACACCCACCTTTTGCCATGTGAATGCGGTCCTGCCTGGCCTTTCCTGCTAGGCAGGGTCGGTCAATGGTGTGATGTCTGCCTTCAGGCTATATTCACTCCAACAGCTCTTAAGGTTTGCAGGCTTCTGCATGTCCCAAGTCACTGCTATCTCTGACTAGTTTCATATCCTGTGAGCTCATGAGCTGCCTGCCTTGCTCCAGAGGCCTCTCTGGCTGTACATCCCAGGATGCCGCAGCTGTCCGAGCCAAGGCGTATTGATGATCACATTGGCAGATGGGAAAAGCAAACAAACACTGAGCCTTGTGCTGGTTGAAGGCAGCAGGGGGTCCAAGGATCCATTAGGCTGATATCAGCACCTTCAGATCCAGCTCCCTCAGAAAACCCCATGACTGGCCTGGCTTCTCATCACAGAGGGTGGAGCCACCATGTCCTTTACAACCTGAGCTTGTCACTGCTAGAACTTCTCAGGAAAATCTGCAACTAGCCCCCTCCTTCTGTACAGCCAAATCTCTTGTGGCTGTCTCCACCCAGTCACTATGGTAGGTTGAACCCAGAGACCCTGAAGTGTAGTTGTTTTGTGATTTATGATTCCTGAAGTAACTAAACCTTAAACAATAAACTCCTTTCCAAAATGGCTTCTGATTATATAATTTCTAAGCTTTGAAGATGCTGCATTGAATTTCTTTTCTAACTCTAGCCTTCTATGTGGAAGGAGTCACACTCACAGTAAAACCCTGCACTATATTTGCAGCTTACAGTAACTGGGGGTAGCGTTACGGTCCCTTGTTTCTCCTTGGGGCTGCCAACCCTCTCCAAGCTTGCCTGGTGTTATGGAAACAGGACCTCCTGCCTGGGGGCTGGGTTAGTGTCAGACTTAGGAGCCAGCTCTTAAAATGTCTTTCAAAAAGCCCTCTGCATCCTATCTAGACCATCTCACATCTATTTTTCACATTGTGAGAAGATGACACTTTAAAAATAGGGAGATAGAGAGATCACGTCACTCCCTTTCCTGTGCAGTTGCTTTCTATAATCACTTTGATAGCTTCCCGCTACTGTTTGGATAAAGACTACCCTTAATGTGTCTGGTCACCCGTCTCATGATCTGGTGCCTGCCATCTTCCCTCCCACACTCCTGTGGAAACATTATTCTGCTGTAGTCAAACTAACTTTTCCCTGAGTTGTGTTCTTTGCTGACATGAGACTTTTGTACAAGCTCTATCTTCTCTATACCTTGTCTCACCTTTCTCTTCCTGGTTAATTCCCGTGCATTCTTCTGATCTCAGCTCTACTGTATCTTTCTTAGGCAAGCCCTCAATGTAGGTCAGCATTCTATGTTATGTCTTCTCAAAGAATATGTTTCTTTTCTTTAGTTACTATTTCAAACTCTTTTGTGTGATGATAGGAGACACGAAATGCTGTGTATCTGTTTAAGTTCACTGCTGAATTGCTGGTGATAGGTGCCTGGCACATGGTAGGTAGACACTTTGCTCACTGAATTTGAATTGCCATTGTTTACCCTGCTTGTGACCATTAGTGATTCAAAAATACTATCTCACTAGTGTAAGAACCTGAAAGAGTAAATCAAATCCAAAAGATACAATAGATATTGTGAAAGGCAAAGAAACCGCTCAAAAGGAAAGAACAACTGGGATGAAGGAAAAGAGAAAAGAAAGAAAGAAGGGAAAAACATGTATATATGTATACACAGAATAGCTAAGATAGTTGTACTACTGATTTCTATTACTTTATTGAAAGGAACAGTTAATGTTTAATTGTTTGATCAATCTTACATGCTTATATTTGTTTATCTAAGTAACCAATTTGAAGATATCAATACGTAATACAGCCACCATTGTTAACTTCCTATCACCTTGTCTAAAATTCTGTATTGCTTGTATTGTTTTTGTGTTATTTTGGAAATGTCTGTGTGTCTGCTAATATGTTTTTGGTTTTTTATCTTTAAAATAAAAAAAATGAAATTTATGGAGGTCACCACAAAGTGGTCTAAAGTGTTGTCAAGGAACAACCAGTGTTAATTAATCAAGTCTGAATGAAACATCTCTGTTATGTGGCACACTTCCTAAGTCAACTCAACTCAGATCCTATTCATTTTATTTCAAGGTAAACTACTCTGGAGCACAAATTGTTGTAGGATTTGAAGATGGTGTTGTTCGAATTCTTGAACTCTATGATCCAAAAGGGCTCACAATTTTTACAGGACGGAAGAAAATTTTGGATGCTGATATTTATTTTAGACAGGTTTTCAAGCCCCACACTGCCCGAGTCACTGCTTTAGCTTATGACCGTGATGGAGAAATTCTCGCAACAGGGGTAAGCTGAAGATTTCTCTCTTGTTGCTTGTGAAATTTTATGGTTAACCTTGCCTTATATAAGCCTAGCTACTTGACTGCACCTTGTCTCCTGAAAGTAATTTTCTAAGAATATAAATATTTGTATTTTGCTTTTGTTGTGCTCATATTCTTTCAAAGTGGTCTGTGTCTAACATTTAAAATTACTCTTACACATTGAGTTCTAATGCTTATTTTATTTTATTTATTTATTTTGTCTTTTTGAGACAGAGTCTCACTATGCAGTTCAGGCTGGCCTTGAGCTCACTTTGTAGCCCAGGCTGGTCTCAAAATCACCACAATCCTCCTGCCTCAGCCTCCCAAGTGCTGGGATTACAGTCATGTGCCACTTCGCCCAGTGCTAATGCTTTCTTTAAATAAATAGAAAATTTCAACTAACAATCGTTGTAAATTTATTAAGTCCGCATTTTATAACTTGCTTTTTGTGTGTGGGTAGGGGGTACTGGAGGGCCTTGCCACTGAACTGCATCACTATCCCTTTTTAATTTTTATTTTGAGACAAGGTTTCACTAAGCCGCTTAGTTGCTCAGGCTGGGCTCAAGCTTGTGATCCTGCTCAGCCTCCCACAGTGCTGGGGTTACAGGCGTAAGCCACCATACCTGCTTACACATTTATGTTCTTAAATAGAAGTATCATAGGCTAGAGAGTGTGGATCTATGGTAGAGCAATTGCCTAGCTTGTATAAAGCTGAGGTTTAATCCTCACACTACAAAAAACAAAAATGAAAACAAACCAACTGGGCTGGGGATGTAGCTCAGTGGCACAGCACCTACCTGGCAAGAGCAAAGTCCAGGGTTTGATTCCTGGTACAAAAAAAGCGCTTCCTACCCACCCTGCAAAAGAACTGCTATAAGTTAAGAGAAAGTGTAAATGTTTTATGCATGAAGATGCAAATATACTTTGTGGGATTTTTTGGTGAATTAATTTATGTACAAAGAATTTACATGCAAGTATTGTAATTACATTTTCAGAACCACATACTGAGACATGCAGGGAAAATGAAGTAAATAATTGAAATCATGTTTTCAAAATAATCTTGGCTATATGATCATTGAATATGCCATTACATATTCTTTTGTGCTGTAAACCAGATTTCATTGTAATATGCATTTGATGCATGTGTCTCTCTTTTCTCAGAGTAAAGATCACACTGTCTTTTTCTTTGAAGTGGATAAAGATTGTAAGCCAATTGGTTATATTAAAACTCCCGGGCCTGTTTGCCAGTTGATATGGTCCACACTCTCTCATGTAAGTCATCGTTATCTGTCTTCAAGCTTCGCCTCAATCACAGTGTAGTGAAGGGATCTTATAGCTAGTGAAGAACAGGTGGGATTTATAACCCCACTCCTTGGTCCTCCAGTGGGGGCCAGGAACATGGTGACACTTGGAGCTCTGTGCTATCCTCCCACCTGCTTTCTCTTCCAGACACTGACTCATTGGCCACCATCCCCTCTCAAAGCACAAGGTGACTTTCAGCCGAATGCTCTGCATGTCAGAATGCTTTGACGTGGATCCATCAGTCAGTCTGTCTGACAATCAAAAGCTCAATTCTAAGACCTGAGTGTAATTTCCCTCACCTTTTACCTCTTTATCTCTTCTACTCCTGAGCCACCTCTGTCCTAACTTTCCATGGCCTATTTCCTGACAATTAATAGTTAAGTGTTGATTATTAATCTCATTAACAGCTCTAATTTACAAGATGTGAACATAGGATAATTCATCTAAATGTGCTTTGAGTGCCCAGATAATAATACTTATAGAAATATAGTACTGGCGGGATTACTGGGGAAACATTTGAAATCCACTTGCAGCTCTGTGAACAAAAGGGCCATAAAATATGTTAGTATTGTCTGAAAAAGTCCTTTAAAAATTAATCAACAAATACTTATTTTTGCCATCTTTGCTAGACACCGGTAGATTTGCTAAGCAGAAATAACAGTGTTTGTTCAAGTACAAACATTTATGTATACACATGTTTAAAAGCTTTAGCACTGAACAATAAAAGGTTTCACAGGGGAACTGGTGACTAAAATCTCAGCAGTATAAACAGTTTGTGTTGTGAGGATAAGCACGGAACTATCAAGAAAGGGAAAAGAGGTTGGGAATCTATCTCAGTGGTAGAACACTAGCCTAGCACACAGGTGGCCCTGCTTTCAGTCCCAGAACCACAGGAAAAAAGAAAAACAGACAATAAAGGGGAGAACTGTGATGAGTTATTATTTTATATTATTGCATTTTAATTCTGAGAAACCAGCAGGGTGCAGGAAGTCGTAGAAGAGGTGGGTGCAGGAGGTTCCAATGAAGGGAAAGATAACTGCAGAGGCGCTCTGTGTGAAGCATGCATGTTTATAGCACACTCTATGATATTATATGCATCTCTCAATCATTTCCCTACACACAAAGTGAAAAGACAAAGCAACTTTTGCCAGGGGTTAGGGATGGGGTGGGGCAGGTAGAGAGTGGGTGTGACTGTTAAGGGGAGGTTGGAAGGAGATCTTCGTAGCAATGAGAGAACTTTGTGTCTTGATTTCCATCACAGTTACATATGATAAAATGACATAGAATGGTATGCACACTCTAAGCTAATGTCAGTTTGGTCTAATTGCATAAGATGTAGCCAATTAGAATTTGGTGAAAGGTGCGTGGTGTTGTAACATCTGGGGTGAGTTGTACACATGCCGTGGTATGGCACACTAACGTCCAGGGGTGGGAGCAGGCCAGTGCTCTGCTGTGTCACGCTACTGCTCTGAGGGAACATCTTTTGAATTTTCAAATGTATTGTTTGTAATTTTAATAATATCCTTAATGTCACAGGATCTGTAGTGATGTGCCTTGTCATCTTTTACATTGATTATTTGTGTACTCTCTTTTCCCTCCCAACTTTTGCTTTATGATTAAATCTTCTAAAGGTTGTCCCACTTTTTCTTTAGAGCTTTGTTTTGTATTTCATTAAATTGTGCTCTTTTAATCATTTTCTTATATCTACTTTAAGAGGTTTTTTTGTTATTTTCTCTCTAACTTCATGAACATTTATATTTTAAAAAATGATTATTCTTCTTTATATGTGCCTTTCTAAAACTATGTAAACATTAGCTGTACAGTTTTCATAATATAGTATTTTCATTATTATTCAGTTCGAAATATTTTCTTTCATTTAACTTCTTCTTTGACTTATGGACTATTCAAAAGTATGTTTCTAAATTTCAGAACATAGGGAATTTCTAGTTGTTAGCATCTAGCTCAAGCACATTTTAGTAAGAAAATAAATAATATATTATTTTAATCCTCAGAAGTTATTTGAGAAAAATTTTATAAATGTTCTTATGCTTGAAAAATATATATGTTCTTAAGATTGTGTGCATGTTTGCATTTATTAGCTCATTTAAAATTTTTTAAATTATATGGGTAATTATCAGTAATGTTTTTATTTTTCTAATTATTACTGAGAGAGATGTTTAAAAAATATTTTCTTGCTTATTTTCCCTCATGTTTTTGTCACTTTTTGGTTAATATATTTGAAATCATGCTATTAGTACACATAAATACTTGCAAACGAGTTCTATTCCAGAGAATGTTCCTAAGTTGGACTTGTTTGTAAGTCTGACAAACTGAGTCTTATACTCCGTTGGCACAGATATACAACGTAAAGCATAAGAAAGCCAAACACGGGGCTGGGGATTTAGCTCAGCGGCAAAAGCACCTGCCTGACAAGTGCAAGGTCGTGAGTTCGGTTCCCGGTACCGGAAAAAAACCAAAAAAAAAAAAAGAAAGCCAAACACACACACACACAAATGTAGTACCGCACTGTACTGCACTACTGTACACTATGCCACTATATAGTAAGTCCACAAGTGTGACAATGTCTGGCAGACATGTGAGCTACTTCTGTGATTTGTTCATCTCCAAGAAAGTTCTTAGTGCAAGGTCTGTTTGTGTCTGCGAAAGTTTGCTTTTCAAATGTTCATAAGTCAGGGGCTTACTGTATAAATTGTTAATTTTCTGCTGAATTGAGCCTTTTATTATTATGAAGCAAAGTTTGTGTTTCAGATATATAACTATTTTACTTTGTGTAATTTTAATTTTTTTTTGAGACAGCGTATAGCTGTGTAGTCTAGACTGGCCATGAACTCATGATATAGTCCAGGCTGGCCTCAAACTCATGGCAATCCTCCTGCCTGAGCCTCCCAAGAGCTTGAATTACAGGTGTGCACCACCACACCCAGTTATAAATATTTTTAAAATATTCAATCTAATAATATTCTCTTTTATCTCAAGCATTTCATTCATTTTTTAGTAATGATATTATGCACTATGATTTAGATTAAATCTACCATTTTATTTTGTGCTTTCTTTTTTTGTTCCACCTTTTCTTATGTCTTCTTTACACTGACTTAGAAAAATTATTACACTCTTCCTTCTATTAGTTTATAAATTATATATCTCTTTTTATTCTTTTAATGATTATTTTACATTTTAACATGTGTCTTTTACCCAGGAAAATTTTGATATATCGTTACCCACCTACCAGACAATACAAACGTCTTAGTGTAATTCCTTTATTTTCCTTCTGGAGTGACATTCAATTGTATGTTTTAAAAATAAAAATAACTATGAAGTTTAAAAGATATAAATATGACAACATATATTCAATTAATATTCAGTAAGTCTATCCACTCATGTACCACTTTCTTTGCTATTAATTCTTTCTTGCTTCTGAAAACTTCCTTCTCCCTGTGTCACATTCTTTAGGTGCTCTTTGATTGCAAGCCAGCTGTTGGCAAGCTCTCACAGTTTTTGCTCCTCTGTAATTTTTCTTTCATTATTGAAGCGTATGTTTGTGGGCATAGAATTCTAGAGAGCAGTGTGTCTTGCTGACAGAAAGTAGAGATTGTGCTTTGGATGGGTAGATGATGGTACTTGAACCCGAGCTCAGCAGAGACACAGCACTGAGACCTGGAGAGGGACAAGGCTGGAGGGATTCCCAGAATCTCTGGCCAGCTGATTGGTAGAGGTAAACCAGGTAAAAACAGTGTCGTAGGATTGCTGAGCCATCTATGGATTGTGTGGAGGCCGTTTGAATCATTATCTTATGGAGGAAAAACTATTCCTTGACATATGACTGTCCAGCAGCCCTAGTTGATCACTGCAGACAGATGCAAATTAGGTGGGGATATTTGGGGATGCAATTTTGCCAGACAGGTATGCAGAAAAGATACAGAAATAAGGACGATCAGGGCACTGCTGATCCTTACTTATCTTAGTTCAGGGTGCTGTAACAGAAGGCCATACACTGGGTATCTTAAGCAACAGACTTTTATTTCTCACAATATGAAGGTTAGGGAGTCCAGATAAGGCACTGGTGTCTGGTCAGGACATGCTTCCTGGGATGTAGATGTCAGTCTTTTATATCTTCATAGCAAAAGCAAAGGTTGTTCTCTTCATTCCCTTACAAGACTGTCAATCCCATTCATTCTCTACCCTCGCAATAATTCCCCAAAGGTGCCACCTTCAAATGCTATCAACAAATAAATTGACAGGAACATGAACATTCAATTCCTAACATTATGGAAATGAAGTATCATGAAACTTAAGTTACATATGGAAGAGTGAACTAACCCTAACCCTAAATTAGCACAAGAAGCCACTAATTAAAGATGCTCTATAGAAAATTACATGTTAAAAAAAAAAAAAGGAAAAAAAATACAAAACGCAAACCAACCAAATAAATCAGAAGTAGGAAGACAGTCAAGGGGTGAGTTAAATGACTTGGTGCGTCTATGCCATGCCTGCGCTGGATCGTTTTTGCGGATGTGAGAGTGACAAGACTGATAATCTTTCTTCATACATTTCTCTTCTTCCTCTTCCTCATCGGTTCCTTCCCTGTTGGCATTGCTTCATAGAAAAACCAGAGGCCCTCCCAAGAAGCTTCTTCGTCTTCCCACTAGCAGACAGAAATTTTGTTTTCCTTGGCACCTACTCCTCCTCTTTTTTTTTTTTTTGGTTTTTCTCCGGTACCGGGAACCGAACTCATGACCTTGCGCTTGCCAGGCAGGCGCTTTGCCGCTGAGCTAAATCCCCAGCCCTCCTCCTCTTTCTTTTACAACAGAGGACTTTTCTCCTTTCCTGCTTGTCAGCAATTCTGTCTCTAGTCCTTTGAATTCTACTCCTTCCCTCTTTTTTTTTTCAGTATTTCTCTTTAGTTTTTGTTTCTGCCATATAAATTAACCTCATTCTTTTTGCTGGATAACTCCCATCAGTACTGAAGTATATAGCCTCTCCCACTTACAAAAAATAAATTCTTTCATCTATTTTCTCTTCCACCTACTGTACTATCTCTTCTCAGCCAGCTCTCTCAAAAGGATTGACTATTCCCACCGACTGACTCCATTTCCTTACTTACCTCTCCCTCCTTTATTTGCTCTTCCCTGGTTTAATTAATAATTTCTACTAAAATGATGTCATTAGGAATAATTAGACTTACTAACAATAACCAATGAAGAATTAAGTATCTTTTAAGAATGGTTACAATGCATATCAATTATATTTTTCCTGATTTATAAGTTTTAAGTTATGCTCATACAAATTTGCCTAAATACTGATGATATGTTTAATCTTTCCTTTTTAGCCTGAAAGTACTTTACTGATTATCTGTGAAAATGGCTATATTCTTCAGGCTCCATATCCACCCATTAACGAAGAAGTGGACAATTACAGTGTACTCTCCTATGAAATCAATGACATGCCCCTAAGATATTTCCATTTCTCAAGTGTCAAATCTAAGATTGTGGTATGGAATAATCTTGAAAAATTATCTTCTAATATTTTTTCTTCCATTATAATATAAAAATTCCTGTACGAGGTGCTGGGAAAATACCAGGAAGAATAAAGCAGAACCTGCCCTTAGGGACCTTATAATCTGGGGGAAAGGAGCTGACTGTGTTAGTGTCTTGGTTACTTAGCTCTCATTGCTGAGACAAAATACCTGATGCCCAAAATTAAGGAAGGAAGGAAAGGTTTATTTAGCTCACAGTCTTTGGAGGTTTCAGTTCATACTCAGCTGGCTCCAAGGCAGAGTGGCACATGGCAGAGGGTAGCAGTTCATGGCGGTGGAAAACAGTAAAAGCAGCAAGAGCACAAGGGGAGGAGTAGGGGCAAGCAGCCTCTTTCCCTCCCTTACACTGTATGCAAACTACCTGCCCCACTGTGGTGTAGCACTCACACCCATAATCCCAGCATTGGACCACGAATCAATCATAACTCTAGAAACCACCCCATGACTGCATGAGGCTTTGAGGGGACATGCAGACACAAACCATAACAGTTAGGAATCACCAGTGAATGGGAGGTGCAGATGTGCACAGGAGGGGTTAGGCAATCCTGACACAGGTATGGGAAGAGATCACATACGATTGCATGGAAGTGACTGACAGTTAATACTTAGAGAATAGAAAGAATTTTTAAAGGATTAAATGCAAAGGCTAGTAGTAATGAAGGCTGGGAGAACATCCTGAGGGAAGGCAGAGTTGGGAGAATTTCCAGGTTTTTTTGGGAGATGAAGGGACTGTGAAATAAAGGGAAGCAATCATGGAGGGACATGGCAGGAGTCTGCACTCAGGAAATGGGGCTCCTCAAAAGCCAGCCTCCTGTCAATCTGGAAGATAATTCTGAGGGGTAAACAAAGGAAAGGTCCAAGACAGAAGGGTGGAATATTAGTGTTGGGGTCTTTTACAATGGACAGTTGATAGACAATGAGACTCTTAATCATTGTATTACTAAGAAACAACTCCCCTCATGGGCAATTTCAGGCCACTGAGTTCCTAGGTTGACAGTGACAAGCTCTGAGATTAAAAACTATTTAAAGTCTCAAAGGGGCTGGGGATTTAGCTCAGCGGCAAAAGCGCCTGCCTGGCAAGCGCAAGGTCGTGAGTTCAGTTCCCGGTACCAGAGAAAAACCAAAAAAAAAAAGTCTCAAGAAAGAATGACAATTTCTATAAAACCAGTGAGTAAAACAGATTTGAATGTTAATGATAAAAAGTATGTTCCCCAAATAGTAATCATTTTTGAATGTTATTTTTTTTACATCAGAGCTATGAGATTTTCTAGATTTTCTGTCTTCCTTCTGTTGTCTTTGTTATCATTGTGAGTGATATAAATGAACGCAGTTTTGTATCTCAGTGTCTTTTTTAAAAGAGATCAATGGAAATTGAAAGGAGAGAAAAACAAAAGGAGTTGAAGGCAAAGGAAAGAGAAGCAAGGAGGAGGAAACTAATAGAAGAGATGGGAGAAGATGGAGAAAAAGAACTCCAGGAGGAAGAGGAAGAGGAAGAAGAGGAGCCGTTACCTGAGCTTTTCTTTCCCCCGACCCCTTCTCCCATCCTCTGTGGCTTCTACTCTGAGCCAGAAAAGTTTTGGGTTTCATTGGTAAGTAAAGTTGTAAAACTATAACCTTAGCTGTATTTCAATCTAATTTATAGTTGTTATTTATCATCACATTCTTACCTTTTTATTTATATGTTAAGTATTAACTACCGTTGAAGTTGTGAGTTTTGATAAGTGAATGTGAGTTACATTTGCTTTGATATCATCTTCACATTTCTTTTAGATGCCTATATACCCATTGTCATTTATGACAAACACACGTCCCAGCCAAGTCAAAAAAGGAAAAGGATAAAGGGTAGAAGAGCAGAGAGCTAAGGGATTTCCCAGCTGAGTGTGTGTGTGTGTGTGTGTGTGTGTGTGTGTCTGTCTGTCTGTCTGTCTTTGATATGGGACTCACTAAGTTGCCCAGAGTGGTCTCCCATTCAAGACCATCCTGCCTCAGGTTCCCAAGTAGCTGGGATTACACACGTGCACTACCACACCTAACTGAGTCTGTTGTTTTGTAATTTTGAAAATAATGACTTTCATGGCAGCACTATCCAGAGACTTATACTTACACCTCATTCCTACAACAGTGCTGAGTACCTTGTGAAATCTAGAAATATCAGTATGTTTTAAATTGTCTCAAAGTTTCCATTTCCTTGTAAATATTTGTTATTTTTGTTTTTAATTGTAGCCAGCCCAAGTAGTGTAAGCACATCCCACTGTACTTTCAGCCTGCACTTGCTCAGTGATCAGTCATTCTGAGCATGTTTTCATGAGTTTATTGCCCATTTGTGTATTTTCTTTGAATAAATACCTGCTCAGTTCTTCTGTCCACTTTTGGATTTTTTGTCCAGCTGTGTCTATTTGCTGTTAAGCTAATCAGTTGGATTTTAATTTCTATAATTTTTTGGTCCTAGAATTTCTATTTTTTTCACTACTTATGTTTTTATAGGTTCCAATTGGTTCCTAAAATTTTCTGTGTTGCTTTCAAGCTCCTTAAACATATTTTTTTATTTTTATTTTTTTGGTACCAGGAATCAAACTCAGGACCTTGCACTTGCCAGGCAGGTGCTTATGCCACTGAGCTATATCCCCAGCCCCTTAAACATATTAATCATAGTTATTTTTCTTGTGTTTCCTAGTATGTCTTATTTTTTTTACTGAGCACTACACTGTGCATATGAAAACCTGTAGAGCTACATTGATTCTCAGTATATTGCTATTTCCTCATGGAGATTTATTTGTAGTTCTAGAAATGAGCTAGAAGTTCTAGATAACTTTAACCCAGTCAGTGATTGAGATGACCTAGAATTAGGCTTCACTTCCTGTGAGGTCCATTCTCCTTCCTCCTACTCACACACCTAGTGTGTATCACCCTTGAACATGGATGGAAAGTCCAGTGCGAAGTGTATTTATAGTGGCCCCTTCCCTTGGAGGACCCTAAAAATGATTTCCCTCTCCATAAGTCCCCAAGACTGCAAATAACCCTGCTCAGCCTCTTAGCCTCTTGGCTGTCACTTTGAAGGTCACTTCAGAGAGAAAAACAATGCCGAATGCCAGGCTTCCTTCTCCTGGTTCTCCCTGTCTTCTGGCTCTTCCTTCTCCTGGTTCTCCCTGTCTCTGGCTCTTACTATTTTGCTATCTTCCCAGTGCCTGCAAACACAGTTTTAAAAAATTGTTTTAGCTATCCTCAGTGGCAAGGCTTGGCTAAAATAATCCAGTCCGCCATTGTCAAAAGTAAAAACAGTACTTTGATTTTCAGACAAGATGATTTTGTTACCTTCTCTTTCTTATTTACTTACTCATTTTTCATAAAGATGTTCTGCTCTTTAACTTATTTTCTCTAGTAAGGACTCTCTGGTCCATATGCATAAAGAAAGCAAGTTATAGTTAGAGCAATGTAGCTTTTCTACATTGCCTTGCTGTAGATGATCTGTTGTCTTTGCACTATGTGGATATGTTTTCGCTAAGTAGCCCTTCCTGGAAAATTAACAGTGCTAACCCCAGACTGAAAACCAGCTGTGGAAACAGGACTTGCAAAACTTATTATTAAATATTACTGATTCATAAAAATGCTTGAAGAAATAAAATGGAATTTAGTAGGTAGTCAGAGGTCAAATCTCTCATTTTGATTTGTAAGGGAAAACAAAGCATCCTAAAATATTTATTATTATAATTACATAGTTGGATATCAGTGGACCATAGAGATATTTTTAGAAATAACAAAACCTATCTATTAACATAGAATCATATGTAAGTAAATTTGTGTTGTAAATTTTGACACAAACAAAAAATTTTTCATGCTTGAATATGTTGTATTCAAGAACCACTTTCAGTGTTTTTTGTCTTTTCCAGGGTGGCTATGATTCTGGTTTTCTATATCACTGTGAATTTCCCCCATACGATAAGAACGGTGATTTCAAAGCACAGAAAGATGAACCTTTTGATTTCCGTGTTCTTAAAGATACAGAAGATAATCCCATTCAAACCATCACTTTCAGGTGAACAGAATTTTAAAAAGCTTTAAGAAACTATATTCTATTAGTTTCTACATTTGCATAGATCATGAACATTGTGAATTTTAAAAGATATATCCAAATCAGGGGTACCCAAATGATGTTTTGTTAAGTAAATCAAGTGAGTAAATAAATAGAATCAAATTAAATACTGGTTTCTATTTAAATCTGCTTATTAGATATTCTGTCAGAATTTCTGTTTAATTACACAAGTAAATTATATGGTCTTAAGTCATTTCTTTTACTTTGGAGGGGACTGCTGCATGGTCAGGTAATGAGATGTCAGGATTACAAAGACTGTAGGGAAATTACACATTGAATCATTAGCCCTTTAATAATTGAGACGTAGGTAAATATGCCAGTCATTCTTCTGAGGATCAAAAAGTCTAGTTCTAATGTTCAGATTGATTTTTTCTTTTGTGTTAGTTTACTAGGGTGGCTATAACAATACCATATACTGGGTGGCTTAAGCCGCAGATATTTACTGGCTTATAGTCTGGAGAGTAGAGTTCTAAGTTTAAGGTGTGGGCAGGAGTGCAGGTTTGGTTTCTCTTTCTTGAGGTCTGTCTTGTTGGCTTGCTGCTATCTGCCTTCTTGCTATGTCTTCACTGTGTCTTTCGTGTGTGCACAATATGCCTAGTCTCTCTCTGTCTCTGTCTCTCTCTGTCTCTATCTCTCTCTGTCTCTGTCTCTTTCTGTGTCTCTCTCTACCCATCTGTCCGAATTTCCACTTCTTATAAAGACCCCAGAATCAGACTAAGATAGAGTCCATCTTAACATTCTTGTTTTAACTTATACACCTTTTAAAAGCCTTTTCTCACAGTATAGTTACATTCTGAGGGTTTAGGGATTGAATATATAAATTAGGGATTAAACATGGGTTAGGGGTTAGGGACTAAACATATAAATTGTTTTATATATATATACAGGGTCTGACTATGTACACCAAGATGACCTCAAACTTGTAGTGATCTTCCTACCTCAGCTTCTCAAGTGCTGGAATGACAGGTGCCACCAGGCCTGGCTTTGAACATAAGGACTTTTGGTGGTACATGATTCAGTTAACACCTTCACTATTTCAGATTTAGTCATTTCCATTCATTTAAAATTAAGCAGTATTTTCAGAGCAATTGAAAGAACCATTTACTTTCTTTTGTTTCATAGCTTTGACCAAAGTATGATGTTCTGTGGAATGAGAAATGGAGCCATTCGAGTGTACGTGCTGAACCCAAACGACCTTGCACTGACCGGCTTGGAGCACTACTGGCACTTCAACGTGCACGACAACAATTACGGGTGTGTTAGAAGAATCGCGACCAGCTTTGATGACCGCTTCCTGGTGACCGCAGGGGCAGATAGTAATATCTTCATTTTCAACATCTTTTCTGAATTCGTGTTAAGGAAAGGCACCAAAGCCAAAGTGCCATCTCCCAGGGTATGTAGCCAATCGACCAATTAACTAATTTTTAACTAATTTTTAGTAACAACAATGATAATAAACTTTAAAGTAGTGATGTAAAGGTGTTCATATCCATTAAAAATTAACAGCTATTTAAACACATTAACCTTGAAATTTAATCTTCCTACCAGTATTATGTTTTGACTTTCTGGTGCTTCTATATAAAATACTAATGGTGCTGATTGTCTCTTATTATTAAAGGCATATAGTTCCCCAAAATTAAAAAAAGACTGTGTCAATTTTTCTGTATCTATCACTTCCTTAATCAAAGTTTCTTTTTTCAAAATTCATTATATTTCTCAGACATATATATGTATATATTTTATGTATTCGTTTACTCGTGAGGCATGTATAGGGTGTATACTATAAAGTGTACTTTTGAAAGCAGTTGAACAATATTAGTGGCTTTAGCCTGGAATGTGATAATGTGAGTCTTGATCAAAGATTCACTATAAATTATTCTGTTCTTAGGCAGAATACATTATTGGCTTTTTATTGAAGACTGAGTGTTCAGATACCCTAATTACATCCTTTTGTCCTGTCCCAGAGTTGGAATTTTCTGTTAGTAAAGGGGTTTATATGGATAAAGTCAGTTTAATAACCACTAGAACTGCTCCTACAGATTAAGAAGGAGGTACAGTATATTTAGAAAAACCCATGGCTACAGTTCCTAAAAACACATTGACTTCCTGTTTGCTAGCTAGCCTACTTCAGAAGAACACACAAAAATTGTCGAGAATATTTGAGCCGGTAAAATTTCTATTAATAGCAGTAAAAGTTGGAATATGGGACAAAATTTAAAAAGGGTCTATTTCCAAGAGTGCAACTGCACAAGGGGAAGTATATAAACAGGAAAACCTTTATTTTCCTACCCAGTACTAGCCTTCAGTATAGAAACTTATACTGAATAGAAAAAAATCATTCCACAATTAGAATAATAATACCCTTTTGTGGATAGCATCAGTATTTCTTAAATCGTTGATGCAGACTCTGTTTTTAAGAGGACAAAATGAGGAACAATCAGAATAACAAAAGCCATAAAAACCAACTAAGCTCTACAGAAGTCTGAGGGTCTTTGTTTACTTTTGAATCCCCTAGGAAGCCCTTGAAAGTACAGGTGACTAAGCTCCTCTTAAGAACAATTAAAGTAGCATCTCTGAAGATGAGGTCCAAGTCTCAGTGTCTTATAAAATGTTCTCCACTTGGTTCTAACATGCAGCCTGGCTGGAGATCCTTTGACATATATTTTAAAGTTTTGGAAGTGGCTTGATCTGTCTCCACTGTATCAGAAACAGCAGAGGCCAAGAGATACTTAGCCGAATTTTCCTGTCAAATCTCTGCACACTGATATTGGAGAATTAAGGGACTTAGCTGTTGCTCCCTCCATCAGAAAACTAAGTAAAATGCAACAAATGTATGTTTTGAGTGATCGCTAGCACGCAGAATTTATTAGCCAGCACTGTGTCTTACTTTGGTCATGGGTATGACTTTTACTAGAGTCACAAATAACTTCCATAAAAATGTGTACATTTACATCTCATAGGTATAAACACTGTTTACATTTCATATGTATGAAGACTTTAATCAAATAACTTGATCAGGAGTCTTTATTTCTTTAGAAAGGGTGACAGCAAGGCAGAGCCATCCGTTATGAAAGAGACTAGAGAATAAACAAGTTCAGTTTTACCTAAGAACTGATGAGCTAGCAAAGTGACTGTCTTATTTATTGGGTATAATCCTTCTTCCTTAACATCGTAGACTCAGACATTTTACAGCACAGCACCTGAATACACAAAGAACTGTAAGTGGTTTACTTCTTAGTTCCTCTTAATTTAAACTGATTTCCTTTTTTAGGGGAGATTTGTATCTTTTAATTCATTTTTTTTTTCTCTGAAGGAGGAAGCTTTTTATTTTGTGCATTTTCCGCTTTATGTCTTCTTTTAGGTCATATAAAATTCTTACTTAAAATTAAAATGTGTACATATATCGAGTCTTCCTAGGATGCACGCAAGGTATTTTGGGAGACTGTGAAGGTAATGAAAAACAGCATTTTGAAATAGATTACCTAGAAATTATTTTTGTGTATTTTCTCCGTCAGTAGCAAGTATTAATAGATCACATGAATCTGAAGGAAGAATTATGATGATATTGACATTTTACAAAACTACACTTAGGTTGCAGGATTGTTTTAAGCTTACCTCTTTAAATGAAGCAAAAACAAATAAGTTTAAGTCGCCTGCAATTTTTCCCCGAGTTTCTTGTGTGTGAAACGACTTTTCAAGTTTATCATTGTTAGAAATTTGCAGGAAAAAGCTAGGAAAATCACTTCTGTTTAGATTTTTTTTTTTTTTTTGGTTTTTCTCCGGTACCGGGAACCAAACTCACGACCTTGCGCTTGCCAGGCAGGCGCTTTTGCCGCTGAGCTAAATCCCCAGCCCTGTTTAGATATCTTAAGGGAAATATGATGTAATTTTAAAGGCCTTTGTATTCTTCTTACAGCTTGGAATAGAAACAGAGCCAATCCCAGAGGATATTGATGACCCCAAAGCCTCCAGGTACAGGGGCTTTTGACATATTCTGTTCCGTCTGAATTTTTGCAAAGCAAACCAACGTTTTGTAGAAGGTGACCAAGCTGAATGGGTACCCAGACTATTAAATACTACTTTTCTTGTGCTCTTTCTGTCACTTTACCTATTTTTCTCGTAAAATTTCTTTTTCAGTATTGAGAGTGCCAGGAAAAAAAGAGAACATGACAAATTAATGAAAGAAGTGGAAGAAATAAAAGCTGGGAAGAGAGAAAAAATCAAGGCTTTGAGGAATGAATTTCAGAAGCTATTAGAGATGAATAAAGAATTGCCAATGCATATGCAGTTTAAACGGACGGCAAGTCTACATAAATTTGCCTTTAACTTTATTTAGCATATGATATTTCTGCATTGAGACTACTACTTTTCCCACAAAAAGGAAGGCTAGGGATCATCCCTAAGCTGTCCTTTTTATCTGGCCAGTGAGTCGTTTGCAGTGACCGAACTGTTGTAGAGCTAGACACACAGTTTGGTGGAAGGAGATAAACCTCTTCACATGGTACAATGCTTACTACTGGATTTAATTACCGCATGTTTTGGTATGGTTGCTATTTTTGGTAGCAAGGTAAAATATAAATACAGGTTTTAGTCTGTTACTGAACCTTATTGTGCCTAGCCAAAAATGTCTGAGTAGGTACATAGATAATTTTTCTGGAGTTCCATTCTATAGTATATCAGATCTATTGAGAAGATTGTACCTGGTTGATCCATAAAGTTTCTTTTGTATTTTCCATAAAGTTTCTGAGAGATGACTTAGACAATGTGTATCTGTGATGACAATCACAAAATTGTTTAAGCTACTTTTGTATTCCTTTTTCTTCTTGTGACTACTGCAGACCCATCATATTCTTGCTGTTTTTTTTTCCATTTTGTCCTTCTTCCTAAACAGAAGTACTGTTATGAATCAAAACAAATGAAAAGGTAGAATTTGTCATCCTAAAAAATCCACATGTTGCCCAATACTGTAATTATAGAAGTACTTTGCCAATTTCATATAAAAAGTGCTTTATGAAATCATATTGGTTAACTTCTTATATAAATTTTTAAAAACCAACTCAAAATGGTTAAAAAAAAACCTTTAAAAAGGTTGAAGCCAGGCATGGTGGTGCATGCCTATAATCCCAGCACTCTGGGAGGCTGAGGCAGGAGGATTACAGGTTCAAGCCCAACCTGGGCAACTTAGTGATTTAGTGGGACCCTGTCTCAAAATGAAAAGTAAAAAGTTGTGGGGATGTAACTCAATGGCAAGGCCCTGGGTTCAATCCCCAGCAGCACATAGACACACACAAAAGTTGATACTTCCAGAGTGAGTACAGGTGACATAGTTTAGGAGAAAGAACAACCGGAGCAAGTGCTGTGGCTTTGTACACATTACTCTTGACAATACAAACACTGTAGTTGCGTGTGACCACAGCCTTTGATATTTTCCTAGGGATTCAGGTAAGAAATATGAGGTCTGTATGGGAGTTAGTGGATTCCTCAGTGTAGGACATTATGCAAAAAGTTGGTGATGTCAAAAGGACACCAAAAGCTGCCGTTTTCCCTATGTGGGTGTCACCCAGTAGGCATTTAGCCACTGCCTTCTACCTGTGCCAGCTGGTTAGTTATGTACTAGTAGTTTCTTTGGGATGGTGAGGGTATTTTGTAAGGCTTTATACACATCTAAGTATTGTTAGCATTTACTATTTTTATTGTAGGGAAAAATCTGTAAGTACATAACCATTTCTGCATTATTATTAATAACTTCTCCATATATTGTGCAACTTGCCCACCCATCTTGTGGAAGTAAGATCAAAACTGTATTATTTTTCTTCTGAAATGGAGAGTTTATAGTATATGGGAGACTGTTATGATGTAATAAATTGAGGACAAAATTAAAAATCTGTAGCTGTATGAAAGAGGGTTGATAAAATATGTTGATAAAGAATACCTTTTGATTAAAAAAATCTCCTTATCTGCAGGATTTTAATCTTGATTCTGAAATTCGTGCTGAGATTGACAGAAACACAGTTTCTAAAATTCAACAATTGGAAGGAGAGTTAGCTTGGGAAAAACAGAAATGTGAAATAGGACTAAAGAAGCTACAGAGAAGGTAGGATCAGTATTTTCTGCACATTAAGATGTTTGAGAGTGTGTATCTGAATAAAAATAGCTTACAGTAGTGTCGACAAAGTAGTCAGATAAAGGTCTTCTGAAGTACCCATTTACTTGAAATTTCAAGAGCTCCTCTTGCTGCTGCTACTGATATTTTCCTGAGCTTCCTCTTCATTCTTCAGGTTTTGTTCTTGTTTGTTTGTTTGTTTTGAGACAGGATTTCTCTGTGTAATTTAGGTTGGCCTTAAAGACATATACCCACTACTCAGATTAAGATGTAGAACACTTATAACCACTCCAGAAAGTTCTCTCATGGCCTCCCCTCAGCAAATACCTCCTATTCAAAGTTGAACCTTTATTTCCATAAATTAGTTTTCTTTACAAAATTTACATACATGGGATATTGTGAACTCTTTGCATTTGGCGTCTGTCTTAGTTACTTCCCTTGTTGCTGAGACAATATATCTGATACCCACAGTTTAAAAGAGAAAAAGAAATGCTGGCTCACAGTTTATAGTTGGTTCGGTCTATAATCAGGTGGCTCCAAGGCAGAACAGCATGTTGGAAGGGCCTGGGTGGAGGAAAATTGCTCACCTCATGGTACACAGGAAGTAGAGACAAAAGGGAGGAGCTGGAGAGCCTGGTGATCTGCCTTTATTAACCAGACTCCTACCTTCTATCAGTGAGTCAGCTATAAACTCCCATAATCTAATCACCTCCCCAAAGCTCTGCCTATGAGCATGTGAAACTCTTGGGGAACATCTAGATATAAACAGCTTCTTTCACTCATGTAACATCTAAGATTATCCATGTTGTATATAGTAGTACTTCAGTCCTTTTCATTGCCTTGTAATATTCCATTACATGGTTATACCACAGTGTAATAACTGTGCTATTGATAGCTGTTTGAGTTACTTCTGCTTTTTGGCTACTCTAAATAATTCTGCTGTAAGCATTCTGATACATGAAATAATAATCCTGTGGTTTTTTTCTAGAAGCTCTATTTTTTTTGCCATTATTCATCTTAAATAATTTTTGTGGACCATGTGAGATGGGGACCGACTGCCATTTGTTCCTTTATCAATATCCAGTTGACTTAGTATGATTTGTTGACCAGACCATACTTTTCTCACTAGGTTTTAGTGATGCTTTTTTCATAAATCAGGTACTCCTGCCTGGGTCTATTTCTGAACTCACTGTACTTCATTGGCCTGTCTGTCTATAGACCTTGTGCTGTTATCTCTCTGACTTAAGTCTGGGCACCTAATATTGTAAATCTTTTGGCTTTGTTCTTCATCTCTGAAATTCATTAAGTTTTTGCCTAAGAACAACTTGTCATTTTTCACAAAAGTCCTGCTAAGATTTTGATTGGAATTACGTTGAATCTATAGATTCATGTTATTTATAGATAACATGTTATTTATAGATAACAAATATTTGAAAAATACATATTCAATCTTTCAACCCAGAAAGATGAGACATCTTGAATTCTTTTTAACATTTCTTCTAGGGGTTACAGTCATACCATCTGAATCTTTTTATGTTATTTATTATTACACCCTAATGTAACGGGTGGTGATTTTGTCATTTTAACATGCCCATGCTTCTTCTATAATCTTGAACTTACAGAATGTATTATAATAACTTTTAAAATATCTTTGAACTGCTAGTCCAATGTCATTTCTGGGTCTGTTTCTATTGACTGATATATTTCCATTCATTTTGGGTTAGCTTTTTCTGTTGTTTTGGTTGCCCAGAAAATTTGGTTGGAGGCCAACCATTGTGAATTTTATGTTATAAGTGCTGGATATTTTTACCTACTTTTAAATATTTTTGAGTTTTGTACTCACTAAATTACTTGGAAATAGTTTGAGTTTTAAAAATATTCTTATTTTGAATCTTTGTTAGGTAGGATTAGGGCAATCCACTCTAGAACTAATTTTTCCCTACTACTCTTATTATAACCTGTGTGGGTCTGGGGATTATTCTGTCTGGTCCTTTCTGACAGTTCTTTTCCCAGCCTTGCCATGCTCATGCTGATCAGTATTTGCCTGAAGACTGGAAGGAATCCCTTTGCAGATCTTCAGTGTTCTCTTGCACTGTGCAGCTGTATCCTCTCTGGTACTTTGCTCTACAAATTACAGCACTCATTACCTCATATTTAATCCCTGACTATTTGAATTCCTGGATAATATTTGCATCCCTGAGTATAACTAGATTGCTACCCACTAAGAAATGAAGATAGATAAGAAGTTCCTTTCAGAAAGAACTGTCAACATAGTAGTCTATAATCAGTTTTAATAAATAGTCACAATATATTTGTGTGTGTGTGTGTGTGTGTGTGTGTGTGTGTGTGTGTAACATATGACTCAATCCACAGACTTAGGTATGTAAGCAATAAGGCTATTCTTTATTTATTCACATTAATTTAAATTTGACTGAGTTTTTACCAAAAAAAGGAAACTCAATACTACTGAGGCTTATTGTCCCAGTCCACTTGCTTCTTTCTGTTCTTGATTCCATGGTTGTGTGCTCAGCTAATCTTTGGATCAAACACGCATACAACCATCACTTTTGAGGCCTTCCCATCTGCCAGAAGCTACCTGGAGGGAACAAGTATCCACAGTTCTTGGCCCCAACTTGCCCATCCTCCTCCCAGTGAGGAGGAACGTGTTCCTTCTTGTACTCTTCCTTATCTTCTGATTTTTCTCCCTGTTCCATGCACCCTCCATCCACAATAGCAAGATGTCTTCAGTGGACACAAGAAAGAAGAAATAAGTACCTGGCTGTCTGTTTGGAATGTGGAGAGGGGATAAAATTGTACAACCAAATAACTGGGTATTACCAGTATTTTCACTTTCTGCAATCTAATAGGCCAAACAAGATAACTCTTGGTTGAATAATTTGCATTTCTTTTATTATTTGTGAGATTAGCATTTCTTTTCATATGTTTAGAGTCTATTTGTATTTATTCTTCTGACAATTACTTATTTGGATACCTTTTTTTTTTCCCTCTGGGTTCTATTTATTTTTCTCTGGGTTCTATCTTATTTTCTCCCTCATTTTTATTTTTAGTCTATACTGTGTGCATTTTCAATTTAGGAAATTGAAATATTTGCATCCCTGAGTAAATTAGTTTTAATAAATAGTCACAATATATATTTTTTTGTGTGTATGTGTGTGTGTGTGTGTGCTTTTCAATTTAGGAATTCTTCACTCACACACATGTTCATACATTTTTATATAATTTATATGTAACATAAACATAACATATATTGTCTATATATAATAGCTTATTATATATAGTACCAAAAAGTGTGATTATATTTCCTCAGAATTGATATGATCTATTTACCATTAAGCCACAGTCTACTTTCAGAATTTCCATTTTTCAACAGTATTAGTGAGCAATGGTGTTCTGTTGATTACTGCTGAATTGCTTAATATTTTTATTATAAGAATTTCTACTTGCTCTTTAATCATATCCAATCTAACTTTAATCAGATCCTGATGGTATCTACATGGTTAAATTTTGAGTTTATTACACTATTATGGTAGTATCTATAAGAATGGTATAGTTTGGTCTTATACTTAATAATCAGGCAAACTGATCAAAATAGTGACAATTACAAATACTGGTTTTATTCTTTCAGATTTCGTGATTCACTGGAGAGTGATATAATTGTGGTTCACGCCATACAAAGTGACCACAAGATCTCCTCCTACAGGCTGATGAAGCCCTCCAAGTATTCTAAATTGAAACAAACAAGTCAGTCAGACAGGAGACCAAGCAAATTGGAAAGGCTTGAAAAAGAAGGACCCGGAAGAAGAGATAGTGTGAAAGACACAGGTAGCCTATATGAGAAGGCATCATATCCCTACTTATCCAGATTTATTAAACCTGAATTGTCTTTTTATAGGAAGAAAGTTTGGCTGTTCTTGGGTGGCTTGAGCTCAATTTGTTGTCCCTCTTTCGTTCACGATGGCCTCTTTTGGAATAAATAGTCAGCAGGGCTGTGCCGTACGGTTTAGAATAAGACGCCCTCCTTCTCCAACTCATACTTCATGACTGCTTCCTTGTTTGATGCAAGTTGCTAAAGAAGAGAATACTGGATGCCATGGTTTTCTTACTTTCTCCTCCCAACTAGTCTCAATCATGGAATTTTCCCAGATGGTAATTCTGAGACAGTTCTGGATTTCTGGGCCTCATTCCAGAATGTAAGGCTAAAATACTGCATTGCAAACTATTTTCCAAGAGCATACACGCTAAACAGAATGATGAGCTAAGAATATAGGTGTGAAAACAGTACTTCTCATCTCAGGAACTTGTTTCTTTTCTTTTGTTTCTCTCTCTCTCTGTCTCTCTCTCTCTCACATACTCTCTCCCTTTCCATCTCTATCTATCTATCTATCTATTTATATATATATATATAAAATTTCAAATGACAAAGGAAGATAAGAATCCTGGGAAAGATTTGGAGAATAAAGAAAGGGTGCTGTAGCCTGGCCAGAACTAGGCTGTTGCCTATGATACAATACCTGCATTAATTCTGGTTCTTCCTCTTCATTGAGAAATCTGTAATATCTAAGATAAATCCTAAATCCCATTATCCTTGTAGGTTAACCCTTCTCCAGTCTATTCCTAGACTATGTCATGTTGCTCAAATTACCTGTTTAGCTTACTGCCAGCTCACTGCTCACCAAATTATTTCTGATACTTCCATATCAAGGCTTCTGCTGCAGTGACCTCAGACCGTCTCCTCTCTGAATTCTACCAGTTCTTGGGGATCCAGCTAAAATGCACTTTTGTTATAAAGCCTTCCCATAACCAGCCAGGCTATGTTAAACTCTTCTTTTTTCATGTTACCCTATATTTGAAATATGCAGTATGAAGAGCTAACATAACTATATTGCTATCTCATATTTTTAAGTTATCTAAAGTATGTCTTTTGTAGCTTGACAACAAAGAGTAATATAATAGTATTAATTGATAATTGATAATTGATAAAGCCAATCATTTTTAAATATAGATTTGATTATGGGCCTATAACTAGCTTTCTGGTTGGCTGAAAACCATTGCCATTGGTATATGCGACTTCAAATTCTGTGGGTCAAATAGGACTCACCATCTTCTCCCACTGAACACTCCTTCCTAGCTTCTGGTATCTACCAGTGGTTCATCATTATTTATCTTGTACTCTAATTGTCTAATATATGATTTAGCTTAACAACTTTATAATAAGGTCCTTAAGTAACAACTGTGACTTAGATCTCTCTATGTTGGCATTCCAGAGTAAAGATAGTACTCAGTGTGTTTGATGGTTCAATGTACAATTTTTCTACAGTGGTGTGCAAGTGTACCCATACAACCATTCTGTTTTTCACTTTAAATAATGTACTTAATAAATTACATGAGATTCAACACCTCACTATAATATAGACTTTAAATTATGATGTTCTGTGGGGTAGAAGTATTAAATACATTTTTTACTTAACAATTTTTAGTTTAAAATAGGCTTATTGGGATATAACCCCATTATAAGTGAAGGAGTATTTGTGTTTATGGGGTTGAATTCATGGTAGTTATTCAGTAAATACTTGACTTAAAAAGTCATCATATTCAATATAAGAACCATTGTTGAACTCCTACCGTCCTGTATGCTGAAGCTCTGCGTCATTTCTAATGTTTTATTTTATTTTATTTACTTGTTACTGTCTTTGATTGTTTGATCAATCTTACATTCTTGTGTGTAGTGGACTGAGCTACTTCTTTGAAGATAACAGTATGTAATGTAACAACCATTGTAAATTTCCATCATTTTGTTTTGAGGTCATATATCATTTTTGTTGTTTTTGTGTTGTTTTGAGTTTGTCTTCATTGTTGTTTTGTCAGTTTTTTAATTTTTAAAATAAAAGAAAGTCATCATATTCTATAGATTTTTTTCTGTGGCAGATTAAAAACAGTCTTTACAAGTTTCATTTTCCAGTCTCAAAAAAACTTAAAAAATAATGTTGATTCTCTATGCAGGTGGGAGTATTTATGTAACAGAAGAATCAGTGATAGACAAAGGGAATAAATTTCGACCTAAAACCCTAAGTGAAATTATGGTGGAAAATCAAATTGAGAAGACCAGAAAACTTATACTAAAAGCTGAAAGGGCTCAACTTAAGATTCAGCAGCGGAAAAGAGAATGGGATGAATTGTGAGTTTTTTTTTTTCCCACCTAAACTCTGATTCTTTTCATATGTGAGCTCCAAAATATATGTTTCTTAGAATCCTTTTATTGACATTGTTATTATTTAAATTAAAAAAGGAAAGAAGTAAAGACAGATGAAGGCATTAAAGACAGGGAAGCTGGCTGTTTTAACTTCTCTGATCCTTAGAGTTTCAGGTTGTTGTGGTTTGAGGGTTTATTCGCAAGGGGAAGCAATAATATACAGGACACATATTTTACAAGATTATTTCTAATAGTCACCCAAAGAATAATATGCAAAAGAGTGCAGGAAATCTGTCCCCACACTAACACCAAGGAATTTAGCCGAGGGCCTGAATCCCACAGAAATGTCCTGCATGAGTCCAGTTGAACCTTGAGCCCATACCAATGCCCCCACGAATCCAACTAGAGGCCCAGAGCCCATGATGTCTCATGCAGGCCTGTTTCGCTGATCTGCACTGGGAAGGCCCAAAGGTCAGTGGTGGAATCTAGAAAGTCTGTGCTAGCAAGATGAAGGATCTGTGCTAGCAGCCCGAGGGATCTGCACTGGAGCCAGGAAGCGATGCTAAGAAAGACCAGAGCTCCCTTGAAAGGTACCACAGCCATCCTCAGCAACAGTGAGGTCCCAAGCTCCTCCATTGGTGAAGGCAGCTGAGTTCCCATCAGGAAAGCCAATGCAGTAAGCTTCTTCAGGAGGCTGGCAGTGCACCATCTTTCCCTCTGGAGCCAGGAAGCGATGCTCAAAGTGAGGACCAGAGCTCCCCCAAAGTGAACCGAAGCTATTTTCAGTGTCAGCAAGGTCCTGAGCTCCTCAGAAGACGAAAACAGTGAAGTTCATCAGGAAAGCCAGCATGATGAGCTCCTCCAAGAGAACCAACAGCTCTTTACAGCTTCTAGCAGCTCCCAACAGCCTTCTCTGCTCCCAACAACCTTCCTTCTTTTTCTCCTGTTCTGCCTCTCATGCTACTGGCAACAATCCTTAGGTGGGCTTCCCATACCCAGCACCATGCTTACTCAGTTCAGCTGGGTTTATAAGTTGTCCACCAGTTGTCAATCCACTACACTGGTCTAAGAATTCCATTTGGTAATGCAGTCAGAGCGATTTTTAAGGAACAAGAAATTCTTTTCTACCCCAACATTATAAAGATTCACTTCATTTCTCTGAGAAATTAGTTTTGTATTGCCCGTGTTCTGTGTCTCCTGCCTAAATTTAATGTCTGATGATAGTTTTTACATATATTTTTTGTTTGCTTTTCTAGTTGTTTACATCATGAAGATAATTACAGTCCCTGTTTCTCTCACATGGCCAGAAGCAGAAATACTTCATTTCTGTTTGCTTTTTTTTTCTTCTTTTCTTTTTCTTTTCTTAGCTTCTGCTTTTCTCCTTCCCCCTTTTCTCTCTCTTCCTTTCTTCTTTTAAAAATAATAATCTCTTCTTTTAGCACAGCTATACACAAATGAATACCAATTAATACCAAAAATGACATGGATTTCCTCTGCTGTTTTGCATTCTGTTTTCCTAAAAAGGGTTTTCTTCTAAAGAAAAGTGCTGACTGTAAGCTATGTGTACATGTTCATATTGTTTGGTAGACTTCACTTTAAAGAATTAGGTAAGAATGTTGGAGTCTCAAAATTAAGGGTCTTGCGATTAAATGCTACCCATACCCACAGATGTTTTAGAATTTCCCAAGCAAAGAGTTCAGTTGCTGTACAGAGAAATTCTTCAGTTTTAGCCTTGGTACAGAAGTTGCTACTGCTTTATCTATGTGGAAAGTTGAGGGAGTGACTCAGTCATCCCTTTCCAATTCCTTAATTACTGTTGCCAAATATGTCTATCGTTAGATTCCACTCTCCTCACCAGCTCCCCCTGTGCTTGGAAGCTCTTAGAGACTCTCCGAAGGATGCATTCAATTCTTTTTGTAGCATTCTCCAGTGGATATTTTGGGCTACAGTTTTCTCTGGTTTGGTCTGAAATGCAATTTCTTCTATCTGTCTTTTAGAAATGTACAGTATCATTGGTTTGCTTGTGATTTTCTATCCCATTTTTGGCCTTCCTAAAGATTTATTGCCTTCTAGATCTCTGTACTGTGGGACAGAGGAGGAGGCAGATACATATGCTCGTGCTATCATCACCTTGAACTAGTTTCTTTTTCTTGAAAATTTTATGACAATCACTTATGTAATAAAAAAGTTTGATTAATTTTTTCATGATTTTTAAAACCGCCCACTTTCCAGGCCTTAATTTATATTGAGAGAATGACACTCTTCATTTGAATTATTAGAACTAAACAAGAGCCTAACAGTGATTAAGATTATTTGAGTACGATGTAGTGATTGGTTTTAATTTACTTAAATATATTTTATTTTTCTTGGGATACATTAATAATAATGATTAATTTAAGATGCTCGGGCCCTATAAACAAAGGGGCATCACAAACTCAGAACTGTGCTTTTGCTTCATGACTAAATTTGAAACTGCACATATATTAAAGTAGACAAATTAAGAGTTGACTGTTGTTTTTATGTCTGGGTTGTCTATTTTTCTCACAGGTACAGAAGTAAACCTGATGATGATTACGAAGATCCCAAAGATGTTCAAGCTATCAAAGAAGCCCAAGTGTGTATGGGAGATTTCAACCTAAAGACGGCCTCAGACTACAAGATACCTGAGCACATGAGGATAAATGCTGCCAAGAAGGAAGAGGAACTGGGACACCTCGACTCTTTGGTATTTACTTACAGATTTCATGACAGTGAGAAAACGCTCTGGGTTTTCGACTGAATTCTGCTAGAACTGCCCCTTCATCTGGCGTAGAAGGATATATAACCACAGACATGTAGGAGTGGAAAACCTGTTCATGCCTGTCTAGAATGCCCTCTTTTTACACACGAGGAAGCAGGCTTAGAACAAGAGATTTGTCATGACTGTTGTCAGCTAATGTGGCAGAACCAGACTTCACATCAGTTGTACGGCTGGGTACATTTCTTAGATAAAAACATTATACTGTTTTGTGGACTTTGAACTTCTGAAATTTAAACAAATCCATATTGTATTGAGTATTTGGCTACCATGTACTACCAAGAACTCAGGCAGAAATGTCATTGTTTTTAGCCTTTCTTTGCAGGACTTTCAGCCTTTTGTAGGTAACTCAATACCAACTAATTAATACTGTTTTCCAACTTTATATTCTTCTAAACATTGTGATTTTTCATTTTTTCTTATCAAAGTTTCTTCTTCTTGCCATATTAATTCCTCAGTCACTATTTGACCTGACAAGTGGTTTTTCGCACTTGGAAGTTTAGAAGGCGTCTGAGCCATTGTGTGTAGGAAGATTTGATACTTGGCCACCTAACGTTTTATGCAATTGCAAGTTTGGGAAGTGAAATTGGAGAAGGTGCCAGTCATATCACATATGTAGTATATTTTAGTATTTTACAATTTTGTGGGCTGGAGATGTAGCTCATGGGTCAGGGATGTAGCTCAATGGCATAAGTGCTTGCCTAGCAAGCCTGAGGTCATGAGTTCGATTCCCGGTACAAAAAAAAAAAAAAAAGAGTTGGTACAATTTTGTGACAGATGGAAATGAAGGATCCTGGAGGAAGGGGTTTCTTTTTCTACATTACCAAAGGTGTTATATATGCCAGCAGTACAGGGATCCTGGATGGCAATTCATATCCACAAATTTTCATTGCTCATGACTTGTAACTGTAGGATAAAAGTGGACATTTTATTAGTGGCCATTTGGATTATTTTCTAGCTGTTTGTCTAAAGTAATTCTTATTTATCCATTATGTTCTATCATCATCACAGATAAATGTTCTTATGACTGCACTATTTTAAAGTTGCTAACTAGTTAGCTACTGCCAGTAGGTTTATATCTTGGCTTCCAGATTTCATGTGACCACAACTTATTAGTTACCCAACTTGAACTAACTAACTAACTTCCTGTCTTTCATTTCTTTCTCTCTTTTTTCCTGTGGTACTAGGGATCAAACCCAGGACCTCATACATCTTAAGCAAACTCTACCACCGAGACATATCCCCAACCCACCCAACCTGAAAATTTTTAGTCTTGCCAGAGAAGATGGGTATATGTGGTATCCTGAATGAACTCAATTGCATTACACTGAAACATACTTAGTTAAAATGAGAGCATGAAATATTGTAAAACATGCTATAACTAGCTAGGAAAGTTCTAAAAAGGACTCCCAGGGAGAGGTAAAAGAGGCAGAGACCTCAGCCCTACAAGCCAGCTGAAGGGAACAAACTGTGGACAACAAAGAGACACCAGAGGTCCCATCCAGACTTCCCTCCCATCTTGAAGGCGGGAAATGGGAAAAGCCTAAAGGCTAGTGAGTAACTTAGTACTGAACAGAGATGATCAGATACATTTGTATCTTAGACTTTTACTAGGCCTTCCGGTCAAGGAATAAGAGCAAATGATACCCTTTGTGAACAAACTGTCATTTGTAAAAGAGTGATTATTTTACTTCCTTTCTTGTATGTTTTTTTCAGGTCTATACAAAGAAAGTCCACATGAACAAGAGCATCCTCTCTCTTCGAGACTTTAAAGTGGCTGTAGTTGAAGAAATACAATGCCTAGTACAAGAAGTAAAGAACATTCAGTTGACCCTTCACATATCCAAGCATATCCCCATCCCCCAGATCCCTCAGATACACCCAGAAGAAGTTCCAGAAAAGAGGTTTCAGTATGATGAAGAGACCCTCATTAAGTTTAAGCAACACAGGTTGAAAGGTCTGATTGGAAAGCCCCACCAAATGGAGCAGGTTGAGTCTGCAATCTCAGGTGCAAAGCATGGCGATTTGACCACACGAGACTCCTCACTTAGGTTTTCTGGAGGATCAAGATTCAATTTAGATCTTCAAATGGAATTTGAAAAAGCAGAGCCAACTGAAGTGGAGCTAGAGATTATGAAGAGGGATGAGGTTAAACACCTGTATATGCAACAGTATTTGATCAACAGGGTAAGAAAGAAAGCTGGAACAGTTAGAAATTAGATCTAGTTTTTGATTTATTTCAAATTCCTCTACAAGAGCCGTCTTCAAACCAGCTTACCGCTCACTAGTGGCTTGGCTTCCTCCCTATCCTTGGCCTTGTAAAGCTGGGCTCTGCCCAGAACTTTGGAGCACTGTAACTTTTTTCTTTCTGTAAAGCTAAGGATAAAGGGCAAACCGATGCTTTATTTAGCTGGCATCTAAGTGGAATTATAATAAAGGGAAGCTGAAGAGCAACCTTCAGACAGTAGATGGAAAATAATTACAACTGTTGTCAAGAAACGGAGAGCCCTCTGCTTCTCCCACTGTCCTCTTTCTCTAGTGTGTGATTTGCTCCAGTAGTTGAGAGTGCTGCTGGAGCAGCACTCTTGTGATTGTTCTGGAGCAGGAATAGCAAGTGCTATTATTTTTAGGAAAATTAAGACTAGACTGGGAACAAATGTGCAAGAAATGCTTCAAATATGAAAGGAAAAGGACCTTTCTTGGATCGATATCTCCCTACTTCACTTGTCAATTATCTTTTCAGCTCCTCCCTGGGGTAGCGCCCCCTATCTTTTCCCAGCCTTATTCTTCATCTGTTTCCTCTCTTCATCCGGCCCTGCTTTCTCATTGCTGCTGCTTCCTCTGCTTTCCCTTTTCACATCTTTGCTTGTACCTTTGCTCTCTCTTCCTACCCACAGTGACTTCTTTTCAGAGTTGAACCGTCTTTTAAAGCACCGCCTAGTTCCAGACCTTCCCTAGCCTTGTATGCTCACATTCCGCCCCTATGATCAGCACCTTATATCTTAAAATTTTTTCTTAGGAAAAAAACTCTTTTTCTTGATGTTTCATGTTTGTTAGTTTTATCTTGCAGTTAGATCCTATGATTCTTGAGGAGAGGATCATGTATACAGTATACCCCTACGAAGTTGTATTTCAGAGTTCAAGGTCTCAAGAGTTCATGGATTTTTCCTTAGAACCTAACTAATAATTCATTGAGGAAACCCCCACAATTTTGTGGAAAATGCAGATATTGGGGGGGGGGATGGGAGGTTTGCAAGTAGCAATCTGAGAGTGTTATTCAATTCTCCTTGCTGCTGATTGGCTGGTGCCCTGTAACCCATCTCTGGCAGATGCATTCGTGTATCCTAACAGGTTGCTGTGCTGCCTGTAGCTCCCTGGAATGTTCCTGGTTTTATTCTTAAAGCTCAAAGATGCCTAAGATGCCACCCAAATGCCTTATACCTTCTAAGGCATCAAGCAGTGGAGCTAAGCACCAGGAGTTTAAGACACTGGGAGAAGGTTGAACTACCTGTACATTTTACTGTACAAACTTTTTATTAAATTATTACAGTACTGTGTGTAGTCTCTTATTAAATTACATAACTGTGGGAGACATAACACATTTAGGGTTTAAAGTATTAAAAATAAGCATTTATAGGCATTTTTGGACCACATCTGAAATTCGGGGTTTTTCACAATTCGCAGATGCTTTAGGAGCTTCACCCCTGCGAATTTCGGGGGTCCCATCAGAAGATGAGTACATCTTCTGTTTCCCCCCACATCTAGGACAATAACAGATGTGTAATTGTCATGTGTAAGTTTTGATTTAATTACAACTTTTATTAATGGAACAAATATTTATAGGATACTTTATGTGTGCAGGGTCAGTGTTGGCTACATAGTAGGAATATGACAGTACTCAAAACCACATTCTCCACCCTCACAAAGGTTGTGGGTTATCAGGAGTGAAAGAATAAAACAAGTGCAGCCCTCATAAACTTGGAGACCAGTGTGGTCCTGTTTCAGAATGGTGTTGTGATGAAGAAAATACAGCACATATTTATTGAACAAGTTTAGAGAGGAACACTAATATGAAATCTACAGCCATACTTATTTAAAAGTTTGATGTTTTCTTCTCTTTGTTTTATTATTTAAGTTCTCTCAGCTTTTCCAGTAAGTTCACTGCCCCAAACCCACAGATACCTGCAGTCTGGGACTTCACTCGTGACAGGCTTTTGACAGTTGAGTTTCTCCATAATGTATAATGTGCAACCTAGTGGAAATTATAGAACGGTTTGCACCCTCTCAGGGTCAGTCCTTGGGGCAGTGTCTTCATGTGCTTTGAGATGGGGTGGGGAAGAGCTGTGCCCAAGTCAGACGAACGCTGAGGGTTTAACTGTACTTGGATCAATAAGGTCCAGGCGAGGATGTGGAATTCACTTCCATTCTTATCTCATCTGAATAAAGAAGCTTTGATCTCAGGGAAATCACCTTTGGCCTCAATTTCTTCCTAAGATAAGGAGATCAAACAGTTTCTGTGGCTCCAAGGTTGTATTTACCTATTTAAAAATTCTAACATTCTGTAGTTTTGAAAATTTTTCAAAATAAATATTTAGGCTGATTATAAGAAAGGAGAGCAGTGATTCCATGGGGGTTACAGAGGAGACAGATATAAACACTTCCCACAAAGAGCTCATACTCAGTATGTTACAGCAAGAGGGACATCTTGACTAATGGCTTAATCTGGAGTTTAGAAATAACTTGAAGGACTGTAGTTACAGAATTCTCACCATTTAATAATTTCTCAAATGCTATTAATTTATATATACATAATTAAGGCACCCGCAAGGCATAATGAAAAAATAATCTTAGATAAATTAGTCATGTTCAATAGTTTTTAAAAATTCACTTATAAATCCTTTTAGCTTCTAACATACTTTCAAATCTTTTTTTCTACTCAGATCAAAGAACTGATGGTTACTTTTGATGCAGAACTCCGTCTCCTGAGACATCAGAAACTAAAACTAGATACTCAGATGAAATTATCTGACCTACACCATGTCACTTTATTTCAAGAAATTCTTCTTCTCAAGAATTTTGAAAAACAGGAAAACATACTTCAGGAGCGTGTTAATTCATTAGACAAAGAGGAGCAGGATATGCAGGTAACAGCAGGAGGAGAACCCTCTCCGGTTCTTCTCTTTGTTATGGAGACAACTGGACTCTTTTTCCTTTTCTTTTCTTCTTAATCCTCTTATGCTAGCCTTCATCTCTTTCTTGTCTTCTCCGTCCCTCTCCCCCCGCCCCCCTGCCATCTTTCCTGTTATTTCTGTTTGGTCTGTCTTGCATCCTTGGTCAGGATGAAATGACTGATATTTTAGTGAATTTAATCTAGAATTGTATAAGATAGGAAAATGAAATTTTCAAAAGTGAACTTTATATTTAGTCTATCTATAGATTTAAAAAATCTGTATTTTTGCCATCAGCTATCATAAGTTGAATTTTGGTTATATTATCTTTATGAACATAAGTGAGAAAGAAATTGATGAATTTCTTAAGTATAGTAACTTTTTGATATGATAGATAATTGAATAAGATAAGAAACATCTTGACATATATATGTTAAATTTAAAGAAACAAATTATACTTTCTTTAAAGAGGAAGAATTTTATTAAATAAATATTATATTCTGAATAGTACGTCAGCTTCTCTAGAGATACTGTATATTTTTGTTTTGCTTATCATATTTCAACACAGAAAAACCTTTGTTTTTGAGATATGCAAAAATATTCAGCCAACTTCCAGATATCATTAAAAATTCCAATTTGTTTAATTTAGACTTTTTTAAAGCTAAACATTAGAGAGCTGATCTTTCTGATTATGAACATAACAGTTTTACAAAACAATCATAAAATTTTAATCAAATAAATGGATGTCTCTTCAAATGTTAGAAATGTTGATTTCTATTGAGAAGCTCTGAAAAAAGTTTGTAGACTGTAACACTTTATTGTAAAATATATTGCCCTATAAACCTGGTTTATCAGAAACATTTACTTATCATTTATTTTTGCTTTTGTTCACTTAGTGGAAAATAAATGAAACTCTTAAAGAGATGGAAGATAAAAAGAATGAAATCATAAAGCTCCAGGAACAGGAAAAGGCACTTTATGCTGGTTTCCAAACAGCCCTTGGAGAAAACAATAAATTTGCTAACTTCCTCATGAAGGTCCTAAAGAAGAAGATCAAGCGAGCAAAGAAAAGGGAGGTTGAAGGAGATGCTGGTTTGTATACTTTTTTCTTTTTTTACATCTTACTCTATTTTCTGTTGTTAATATGAAAAAGAGAAATAACAACTATAGGTTCCTATTTGTTGTTTCTTTTCCCCCACTATAACAAAGGCAATGCAAAGCCACTTTTAAAAGCAAGGGATATAAACGTTTAGGGTCTTTAAATATATGGAGTGTGTGTGTATGACTTAATAGGATTATATTTTTTCATTCTAAAATTTCCAGTTAGTCTTTCATATTTTCTGTCTTTTCTAAGCTTTATGTATTTTTTATTTCCTTCAAGTGTACTTATAATTGCTCACCAAAGTATTTTTATCATGGCTGTTTTAATTTATCAGATAATTCTAACATTGGTCACCTTGTGTTGAAGTCTATGCGTTGTCTTTTTCCATTAGTTGAAGATCTTCCCAGTTTTTGTGATGACAAATGAGTTCAGTTAGAGCTTAGTTTCATACTGTAAGCCTTTGAACCTTAGTTAAATTTCTGATTTCACTTCCTTTCTCCAGTACTCCTTGGAGAAAGAAGGGAGGAGTGTCTCTTTCTTACTGCTGGTAGAGACAGAAGTCGTTATTTCTCATTCTGTCTTCTTTGCCACCTAAGAAAGGAAGACCTCTTTGATACTATGTATGCAAATGTGATTTCTGGCTCCACATGTAGTTTCATTGACAACATGGTGGAGATGGCTGTGGGTCCTATAATCAATGATGGAAATCCTGATTCTCTATTAGAGATTTTCTGATATCACCCCAAAGGGCAGGATGAAAGTCCTGACTCTCTGTTAAGGATTTTCTGACATCACAAGGAAGAGCACCTTGTTATTGTAGGACAGGAATGGAATTCCAGCCTCCCTGTGTGGTCTTCACAGTTACCCTGTGGGGGGAAGCTTGTCACTAGCCAGCAGAGATGGATGTTCCAGCTTCCTGTTTGACCTTCTTTAGCACCATCCTGGTGGGAGTGTTGGATATCTCATTATAACAATGTAAGTGTGGGTATCTAGTCTCCCTCACTTGCCTTCTGGCGATGTGGGTAAATGTAGGAGCACATTTTACTGTAGTGTTTGGTTGGAGTAAGTGAATAATGTCTGAAAGTTTTATCTTGTTAAGCTTCCCCTTCCTTATTCTTTGGCTAGAGGAGTAGACTTTTGTTGGACCTTTCTGTACTTGCACCTATTGGTGTACTAGCTTGCCAGTTTATTCAATCTTAAATCTGATATACAGTGTCTTGGTTACTTTTCTCTTATTGCTGGGACAAAATACCCAATGCCCCAAATTAAGGAAGGAAAGGTTTATTTAGTTCACAGTTTGTGGAGATTTCAGTCCATAATCGGCTGACTCCAAAGCAGGGTGGCAAGGCTGAGAGGCAACTGTTCATGGCAGCCAGAAGACAGCAAAAGCAGTAAAAGCAAAAAAAAGGGGAGAGAAAGCTTATTTTCCTCCCTTATATTGTAAGCAGGCTAGCCACCCTAGGGCAGGTGTAGCACTCACACCATCTCCCTATACTCCTCTTTCGCAGGCTGAAGATGTTTACAAAGTGAGGACCCTGGCCCCCTGCTGAGTCACTTGGTTAAACTAACTTATAAACTTCTCAAACTGACACAGTGAATCAATCATTACAACATCCTAGGGTGTAAACAGCTGTGGGTGTAAACCCTAGGGCATGTCCTCTACACCCTAGGATGTAGAACCGCTGAGTCAGTTAAACTTCTAAACTTCTCAGGGTAACACAATGTACCAGCCATTATATAGAAAAAGCAAAAAGAAAACCCAATGAAATCACCACAATGTTTTATTTCAGCTTCTTGGATGCATTCTTTGTTTGTTCACTGCTTTCCACTTTTCAAAACTTTCTTACATATATTTTATATATAACATATGGCTGTATTTATAGAGAAATAAAGAAAAATAGGCCTAGTTGTTTTTCAGAAAGCAGATATCTATGTACGGGATTTAAAAATTAATTTTTAAACTTTTCTGAATCATTTTATGTGGTGTCACAATTACTTAAAGTTACATTAAGAGAGATCTTAAACTTAAATCCAGAAAGTAAGAAGTCCATGTCTTATCTCTAATTCAGAGTTCCATGAAACAGGAATTGCAAATTGATAATGTGTGGTACATAGAGGCCCTTAAAGTGTTTTGAAAGAAAATGGAGCAAGGTGGAAAGGTCTGCAAAGCCTTGTTATAATATTCCTGCAAACAGATTGTTTTAGTATGTGGACATTTTTATATTTTATAAGGAGATATATCACATTGTAATAAAAATATGCTCTTTAAAGAACAGAAGTAAGGCAGACTTTATGCAGGAGAATTACCAGTTTTGTAGTCAGAGAAGGAGATGGAGCTCAACTCTGAGTACAAGGGCAGGTAGAGATTTACAGCTTAGGAGCAAGGGGGCACCACTGGACTGAAAATTATTTAAAAATAGGGTAATTTTTTGCTCAACTGTCCTAACAGAATTTTTGCCGAAGGCAGGCCAGAGGAATTAGATATTGAGGATGAGTATCTGAGGTATCAAGGGGGCAGGATTTTCACTAAGAAAATTTAGCAGAATTCTTACTACAGAGGGAGCAAATGGGCTAAGCACAGAGCCAAAGGCCAAGAATGAGTCAGAAGAAGGACTCAGAGAAGCCTGACTCAAGTTTTGGTGAAAAGAGAGAGTATTTGTCCACATAAGATCCCTCTGGAATACGATCTCAAAGTGAAACAGTACTTTTACAGCAAAATGTGAATGTTTACAATAAACGGATTAGGTAAAGACTATAAATAGTGTAAGATCAGTTAGCATAAGTTACAAAAATCCTTTGTTTTTAGGGAATTTAGTGGTTTTAGGAGTTGTGGGCCTATTTCACCAAGTGTGTGGTTGGTAGGCTGCGGCCTGAGCAGCTTGGCTAGCTGGGCGCTAACACCTTTGACTTGATGCATTAATGATAACCGCAGAACCATTGGCAGGCATCTGCATTTGTGACCTCTGTGTCCTTCACCATTTTATACTCTCCTAAAAATAATGAATAATGTCCTACTTTTTTTGTCTTTGTTACTTTCCTAGTGACTGACTCATTGAACAATACCTTAAAAATGTATTTAGTGTAGTACAGCAGCTCCTCTGCTAACAGAGTTCTCTCTTCTTAGATGAAGACGAAGAAAGTGATGAATCTAACGAAGACGAATCCAGCCTAGAGGATGATGAGGACGAATCTGGATCTGAAGCTGAAGTTCTGGATGATTCTATCTGCCCGATAGGTGTGTTTGGATAAAATCATGTGTTCTTTGTGAAGTGTGACTGATACAGGAATGACATAGGGAAAATATTATCACCTCCAACCCATTAGATGTCAGATATGCCCAGTTCATGTTCCCCAAAATCAAAGAATGAATTCTAGAGAGCAACAGAGGTGAAGAGTAGGAAAGATTTATTGAGGAAGAGATAGTTCCTGCCTGAGAGATAGGAGGGGACCCAAATGGGTTGCTGATGAGCCCACTTCACAGACGAAGTTTTATAGAGCAAAATCATGTGTTGGGTACCACATGGGACAAAACTATGATCAACCAATAAGATTACAAGAATAACTGTTTAGATGATGTTGATCCAGTTCAGAAGCAGGTCACATAGCAAGTGTACATGTAAAAAACAAAGAACTTTTCAAGAAGGGATAGGTCCGAGGGCCTTGCTCACCCACCGAGGTGGCTGATGCCTGTCTAGCCTTTATTGGACCAGGTGTTACCAGTTATCTTATCCCTTGGGGAAACATGTAGGCCTGATCATTCTGTTTTTATCTTGAGGCTTGGGCTCCAAAAGATGTACCTCTGGCCACAGTTGTAATGTGTTTTTATCTTTTGTATTGACTCTCTCAAGGGTCTAGCCCTGTCTGACTTCCCATAATATTTCTACCTAACTTAGCTGTCTATAATATGACCAAGGATTGACAATACTGAGAAGGTCCTTTTTAAAATTCACAATTCTCTTACAATAAATTTAAGGAAAGGGTGGCATCAAATACATGAAGAAGAGTCTAATTATTCTTTGAGAGGTTCCCTGGATGATTTACTATCTGTTCCCCCAGGCAACCTTTTATAAAAAACAAATTAATAATCAGTATGCAAAATTGATTCAGTTACCATATGAAGAAAATTTCATTTTCTAGAGACACATTAGATAACAACTTATATAGATTTTTAAACAAAATTTTCCTCTTTTGAAACACCACTCAAGTTTTGTATTTCAAATCTGCATTGTGGGAAATCTGTGCCAGGTTCCTGGAAATATTTGGCAGTTTATATTTTCTCTATGGTGAAACCAGTCAAGAGCAGCTAGACTAACATCCTTACAGTCTCAAGAGGTACATGGTTCATTAGAGAAAACTGGTTTGCTTTGGTCTGTAATTAGATTTCCTAGGCATTTAAAATAAGTTTTAATCAACTTTAAAAGTTTATTGTCAAGTAAAGTTTAAATCTTGCTTTAACTTTTTTTTTTTTTTTAATACTTATTTATTTAGTCATTTTGAGGCAAGGTCTTGCTATGCAATTCAGGCTGGCCTTGAGCTCACTTTGTAGCTCAAGCTGGTCTCTAACTCATGACGATCCTCCTGCCTCAGCCTCCCAAGTGCTAGGATTACAGGCATGCGCCACCATGCCCAGGTTGTTTTAACTTTGAAAACAAGAGTCTAATAATAATATTTATGAATAGGAGTGAGCATAAAAACATTGCAATCCAACTCCTTATTTTACAGCAGAACTAAAGGGCTTGAAAAACATACAGGAGGATGTTGGTTGAAGTAGGGCTAGAATTAAGATTGCTGGGTTCCATCTTACCATCCTATTTTCATATTCTTTATCTAGTACATATTAGTTAATGTGGCTGTTAGTGTGATAGACTGGAAAAGCATTGAAAGATAGTGCACTTGAAGACCAGGTGATCATGTATCAGTTATGTCACCTCTGAGATTTTAGGGTCTTCACCTATAGAATAAGGACAAAAGTCACTACCTTGCAGTCTCTAGCCTTGAATGAGACAATGAACATAAAGGGTGTAGGACAAAGCCTGACTCACAGCACCCTTCAGGACATCAGTACCGTGGTTACTGTCATGACCCCTAGTCTCATGAACAGTGTATGCCCAGAACCGTGGAACTGTAATTGCAGTGAATCTTGGCTAGAGTGCATCTATGAAAAGATATTATTAATTCTGAAGCTCCAGACTCCTCACTTCTAGAACTATGACATTCTCTAACAAATGGGGCTACTTTTAAATTTTTACTCTCGTTTCAGGCTGTGATGCGGCTCTTTTTGAACTGGCCCTTCAACTTCGAGAGAAAAGGCTGGACATAGAGGAGGCCTTTGTTGAAGAAAAGAAAATTGTTGATAACCTCAAAAAGGAATATGATACTTTGTCTAAAAAAGTATGGGTCTGCCTACTTATTTGTCTTCTCTCAACCTTCTACAACCCTCCCATCTGTGATATTGCCAATTCAGAGCAATGACATTATTAGAGAACAAAATCCTCAAATGTTTTAACCTTTTTTTTTTTATTCTTACACCAGCTATGGAATGGGCCATTGCTCTTTGACAATCAAATATTCTTTATCTTAGTCATTGGTCTCCAAACTTTTTAATTACATAATTCTATAAGTGAAAAAATTACAGTGCATACTCCCATAATATCTGATATATATTTTTAAATTGTATTTAGGAAATGCTGTCTTAGTATATCTTAGTACACTATCAAACAGTCACAGAATGAGATAAAAATGAATAGAAACTCTGATATTTTCTCTCTGCACCCAAAAAGTCATTTTGCTGACACTCTGGGGGATGCAAACATTGCATGCTGTTGATCACTAAGCTAAATTTCTGGTATAATATTGGCTATTTTCTGTCTTTTATGTTCACTTTCCCTCTTAGCTACTATTCTTGTGTACAGTACCATCACCCAACTGGATTAATAGCCAGAAATATTTTTTTACATTTCTTTTCCTCCTGCAGCCAGTGTTATGGAAAGCTTTCCTATTTTTTAGGAGATGAAGAACATGCTTCAGAAATACTACCTTAAAAGTGTTTCCCCTTTATTGAATGAGGTCGTTATGACCGAACAAGGATATGGTCTTCTGAGCCCTTCTGCACAAAACCTTAAAACTTTAGGGGCATAGGAATGATTGAAAAAGTGATGTGGGTCCTAACTTGGCAAGAAAATAATACATATTCCTGGCTGCTAACTGGAGTCACGCCCGTCACCTCAGCCCAACAAGCACATCCTGCTCACACTGTCCTGCCTCCCGAGACATACTCACTCACCACTGTAGGTGTACGTTCATTGGGTCTTGTCAATCACTCATATGGGGTTTCTACAGGTAAAAGTTGTGGCAGTAAATCTAGAGGCAGCAGAGGAGGCCCTGGAGGCTTATCAGCGAGAGAAGCAGCAGCAGCTGAATGAGGTGCTGGTTGTGATTCCACTCAAGCTCCACCAGGTGAGCATTTGAGAGTGCATCCTGCCCTGTGTGAGCAGGGAGACATCACACCCAGACTTTCCCAGAGAGATTCGTGGGTCGTCAGTGGAGAGAATCACCTTGGGTGAGGATTTTACATGTAGGACAACATCTCAATTTCTTATCCAATATCAGATTGTTGTTAAAGGAAAACATCAAAGTATGCGTATCTGCCTGATGCTCATGACTGCTTTAAAAGTTTGGTCACTTCTGGTCTGGAGAAATGACTTGTGAATGAAATGGCCTGGAGACTGAAATGTGGGGTCTAAACTAATGAGCTGACGAATTATCTTCATTAGTAATGAGGGAGGTCAGGACAAAAAGGAAATATTTTCTCTTTATTTCCTCTGTTCATTTCCACTGTTGACTTAAGTTACAACTTATATAAAATAATGGAAATGCGTATCAGTGAGAAAAAATGGCTCAGGATAAGAAGATCAACTTTATTCTACAAAACAAAAGGAAACAAATAAAAGAATAAGATCAGCCTTATATACTGTTTATGTAACGAGACCAACACTAGATAAGCTCTACATAGCAGTTTGCCTCTGCTCCCAACCCTGGAATATTGGTCCCATCTGCACTGGAAGATTTGCTGTCTCCAGAGAGACATAATGTGGCTTGCAATCTGACAACTTCCTGTTTACCTGGTCATTGTCATTCAGTGATAAGAAAGAATCCCAAAGGCAAGAAAATACCCCATGGACTGAAAAAGCAGTGTTCCCCTTATGTTTTCTCTTAGCTCACCTTGAGTCTGTTTCCTTGTCTTTGCAGTACTTGCTGGTTATATTCATCATGGGGAGCTGGTACATGTACTTAGCACATCTTAACTTTTTGTACTTCCCCTTCCCCACTCCTGTCTTCCTCTGTGTTTTTTAGATAGAATATATGGTATTTGGGGAGCTACCTAGTGATCTTTCTGGTACTTTGGTCTTCTCTAATCACTCCTTGGGACGACTGCAAGAACGAATTGTACAGCTCCATGAGGAAAACACCACACAACAAAAACTTAACAAGGAATGCCGGGAGAGGCGTAAAATGCTCATCCGGGAAAAGAGAGAGATGGCAAAAAACATAGAGAGTGAGTATCTATGTAGATTAGTTCCCTGAGACACAATACCCAACACCTACAACTCTACGGAAAGATTTATTTTGGCTCACGGCTTACAGACTAGGTTTCAGCTGGCTCCAAGGAATGGCAGCATGGCAGAGAGGCACGGCAGAGGAGAAACACCTCATGCCACGGCAGCAGGAAGCAGAAAGAGAGAGAGAGATGGATGAAGGAAGGAGGAGGAGAGATATAACCTTCTAGGCCATGCCCCCAGTGACCCTCCTCCTTTGACCAGGCTTCATCTACCAGCCTCACATTTAGCTATAAATTCACCAGTGGACTAACGCCCTGATGATCCAGTTACTTCCCAGAAGCCCTACCTATGAGTTCATCAGGACTGGAGGGGACATCTAGATAGAAGCCATTACATGAAGCCCATAGATTTTCCAATACACTTGTTGGCTCAATAGGGAACTGTCAAGTGATGATCTCCAACTTTTAAAACAGTAATTGCAGATTCAGAACCAGTGAAAGGGAAAACAAAAACATTTTCCCATCTTCCTATTTACCAGCTCTCCTGGAGCCATAAAGAGCAATCCTTTATCACAAAATCTGTTTCTCTTTGTATAAGACAAAATTTAGGATAATATAATAATGACATACACACAACCACATAAATCACTGCAGATACATACAAGTCAGGTCTCTTCTCTTTCTAATACTATTTGCTGATTCTTCCCCAGGGTTGACCCCCAGATGTGTAGATATGTATACACATATATGCATGTATTCTCACACAGTATGTGGAACTAATTATGTTGCATGTTTTAACTGTGATAATATTCCTATCAGCTTGTGATTCACTTCATTTAACCAATTTTTGAGTTATTTATATTCCAACAAAAAGGTTTACTTTGTCAGTCTCCAATGGATGAATATTTAAGTATTTCTAAGTTTTCCTTATTACAGACAATGTTACGGTAAAACTTACATACATCTCCTTGTGCATATGTCTGAACAGGTCAATGTCTAATATTGGGATCTCTGGGTTAAAGGGGCATTTGTGCATTTTATGCTCTCTAAGACATTGCCATGTGCCTCCCGCACTGATTGCAGCCATTTATCCTCCTCTCAGCAGAATGTGAGAGTTATCCAGGTTCCATATTTTCATTAACATTGGATACCATCAGGCTGTAATGCCAGCCTTGTGGACATTAAATTATATTTCAATGTAATTTTTATTCACATTTCCTTGATGACTGAAGAGGTGAAACATCTTGATGTACTTTTCTTTGCCATTTATTTATTTTCTTTTCTGAAACTTGCCCACTGTTCTGCCTCTTTGACCACTTTTATTTCCAATTTTTGTTTCTCTTTAAATTGATTTTAGGGAGTTCTTGATACACTTTTTGTCTATTGTACTTCAAATCTTTTCTAGTTTGTGACATGCCTTTCTACTTTGGTGTATCTTTTGGGGGCATATGCACTTTAAATCTTACTGTGGTAAATTTTATTGCTCTACTTACGGCTTTTGCACTGTGTATTTCTTGTTTGAGAAATCCTCTTCTAGTTTGAGGTTATAAAGATTTTTTTTTAAAATACAGCAATAATTCTTCTAGGCATATATCATAAGGAAGTAAAATCAATATGTTAAAGAAATATCTATACTCTTGTGTTTATTGCAGCCTTATTCACAATAGACAAAATATAGAAAAAAACTAAATATCCATCAGCAGATAAATGAGTAAAGAAAATGTGATGCATATACCCAGTGGGATACTATTTAGCTTAAAAAAAGAAAAGAAATGCTGTCATTTATAACAACAGGGATGAACCTGAAGGATATTGAGTTAAGCAAAATAAGCCAGGCTTAGAAAGATAACTCATAATCTTACTAATCTGTGGAATGTAAAACAGTTGAACTCATAGAATTTGGAGGTTAGCAGGGGCAGTGGGGTAGGATGGGAGATTTGGCAAATGTTGGCTTTGGGGTATAAAATTTCATTTATTTTTACTTTTTATTATTTTCTGGTACCAGGAATCGAACTCACAACCTTGCGCTTGCCAGGCAGGTGCTGTGCTGCTGAGCTAAATCCCCAGCCCCTTAAAATTTCATTTAAACAGGAGGAATAGGTTTAAGAGTGCTATTGTACAGGATAGTGATTATAGTCCATAGCAGTGTATTTGCAAATTGCTAAGAGAATGCATAATAAGTGTTCTAACCACCAAACATAAGTTAAAATAAGAAAATAAGTAAATAAATATATAAGCTAATTCTAAAGCGAATTACCTCAATTTAGTCAGTAAACATATAAACATATTTCAAAACAATATGATGTACATGATAAATATATACAATTTTTATTTTCCATTTTAAATGAACAGTTATTTTTCTATAGTTTCCTCTACTAATAGTGTTCTTCATGTTGTGTTTCTAGTCTGCCTGCAATTAAGGTGGGTAGTGTAAGATGTGCAGTGTGAAGATAATTATCTTTGTAAATGTTTGCTGCTCTGTGCGTTGTGATGCACACCTGTAATAACCAGCATTTGGGCAGGAAGATTGCTGCAAGTTTGAGGCCAGCCTGGATCACATAGTGAGTTCGAGGCCAGCCTATATAGTGAGATCTCAACTATATAGTGAGATCCTGTCTCAAGAAAAAAAAAAAATGCTTTTTGTAATTTTGGTATGTGGAACATATGGGTGTAAGTTATCAAGTATTATTTTTTTGTTTGTTTGTTTGTTTTTGGTTTTTCTCTGGTACCAGGAACCGAACTCATGACCTTGCACTTGCCAGGCAGGCGCTTTGCCACTGAGCTAAATCCCCAGCCCCTAGTTATCATGTATTGTAACAAAATGAACCCTGTGAACCCACTACCCAACTCAATATTATTCACAAGGTAGTCTGCCTGTGGGCGGGTAGTCTCTTTTCCAGTCTCTGCCTCTTCACACCAAGATAACTGCTATTTCAGTCACTGTGACAAACAGTTACTATGACAAAATATCTGAGAAAAAGATGAAAGATTTGTTTTTGCTCCTGATGCTGGAGGTTTCAGTCCATCACTTGGGCCTGAGTTCAGAAAAAACATCATGACAGCAGCATATGGTGGAGGAGGCAGGTGCTCAAGGGCAGCCAGGAAACAGAGAGAAAGGGAGAGAAGGGGGTGGGGACAAGATCTGCCCTCCCAGGGCACGTGCCCCAGTGCCATCGGTAGCTGTTGGAAACTTACTCCTTCATTTGATGTTTATTTCTAAGATTGGCTGTAGAGTAAGTGGAGAGAGATGTGGGAAAGGATGCAGGAGGTGTGGCGGGGCAGGGTGGGGCGGAACACGGAGGGACTCGTGAACCACTGCAAGGACTTTAATTTCTACTGGGAGTAAAATGGATGATGCTATTGAGTGTCCGCTCTAGTTTTAATGGTGGATGCTGTAGAGATCAATAAGAACAAAATGGGAAAATGTGTTGGAGCCTCTTAACAGTGTGAGAAGGGGCAGATCAGAATGTATACACCACTTGGGAAAGGTGAGTCAATTTCACTTAAGATTTTGAAGATGAGAAGACAGCATAGGAATGGGCACGGTAAGAAATGAAAGCAGAAAGCAAAAAGCCACAGAAGAAAAACCAACTGGTAACAGAATACTTTACCATCTTACAAAAGCTGTTCCTTAGAACGTTATTATTGTTGATGTCCATTGAATAACCATGGGAGCCATGGAAACTTATGAGTGTGTCCTTTTAGAAATGGAACAAACAGTCCGTCAACTAATGGTCAGCAAGTTTGGCCGAGTAATAGATCTAGAAGCTCTTCAGACACTTTCTGTTAATACAACACTTGAAGAACTGAAGATCAAAAAACTTCGAAAGGAGCTAATGAACGCAAAGGAAATGAAGATGTGGGAGGTAAGGAGCAGGGGCTGCAAAGTCTCATTGGTTAGATCTGGGGGGAAGGTAAGAAATCCTGGGACACCTTAAGTGGTGCTATGAAGCATCTGTATAGCTGCAGATGTGGGGAGCCCCAGTGGCTCCCTAGGATCCTTAGGGTCTCTGCTTCCTACAGTCTCTGCTTCCTTACTGTCAAGTTGAAGGGATGTATCTGGAACTAAAAGGACCTGCACTAGTTTTTAGGGTACAGGATGAATATAAATGTGTTGTGAAATGGCATGACAGAGCACAGAGGGATTCTACTTTGGGGTCTACACTGATTCATAAATCCTGCATTAGACATAGAATTACTGTCTTCTGATGAACCTTATTGTGTTATCATACACCTTTTGGATGCTGTTTCAATTCGGTAATTAGAAAACATGCCTGTCGTAAGTTTTATAACATGGAGAGAGATTATGACTGGCAGGGTCTTAGAAGCTTTAATGCCTGCGTACTTTTCCCTGAGCCATGGTCTGAGACTGTTCCCCAGGGCTAACCCAATTCAGAGACAGGCATTTTTTATAAAGTTTTTGTAAATTCACAAATTACTGGGACTTCTCTAAGTTCCAGTCATATTTCATCAGCAGATAGGATGGGAGGAAAAGTCCTTAGTGCTATCTGGTCCAGTGACCCTCTCTTACTTTTGCTAATCTAAGATTTACCACCATTCTTTGAAGAAGCAAATTATTCAGGTGTTCATGTTAATGGAACTGTTCTCTACCAGAGGAATGTTGGACAGCCTATGTACAACCCAGAGTAAATGGCTGGAGCAATAGGAGAACAAAAGAAAGCCATTGTGCCAGTGTAGGGTCATTCAAATCATCCACTGTGAGGCCAAGATGGGAAAAGAACACATGGGAGTTTGATGCTTAAATTACTCTTCCTTCCTTTTAAGGTGTCAGTATGCATACTTGCTTCATTCCTCAACAATAGGGCGATATCTATGTGTATCTTATTTTTTACCTATTTTTATCTTTGAGTGTAGTTACATTCTTGTCTTTAATCAAATCAGATCCTGTGCAGTTGCTTCTAGTTACAGTTTCTTATTGGCTTCTTATCATGCTTTTATTTATGCACGTTGCTTTATTTTCCCAATGTTTTGATCAAATCTGGGCACTCCTTGTTCTCTATTTCCTTTCCTATTTACTTAACCTATTTTATATCTTCCTGGCCGGGTAGGAAAAGATTGCCCAAGCGCGGTGGGAACTGATGATGAAGACAAAAGAACACACCAAAAAACTTCACCAGATGAACGATTTATGTCTTGAAAAAAAGAAACTTGATTCTCGGTTGAATACACTACAGAACCAGCAGGTATGTTCCTTTCTTAAGTACCCCTTTTAAGAATTGAGGAGGGCCTATAAAAGTAGCTATTCACAAGAATGTCAGGTGCTGGCATTTTAAACAGACCTAGTAATTCACTTGGACTTCACTTTATATTTTCTTTAAGCATCCCGGAGATTGTCTAAGTCAGGTGTTCACAAAGTACATTCCCCTATTCTTATCGCCTGAGAACTTGTTTTAAATACAAATTCTGGGGCTTCACCTCAGAGGGAATGAATCAGAAGTTCAGAGGGTGATACCCATCCATCTGCAAATCAGCAGTCCTTCCAGGTGATTCCGATGCAGGCTACAGTTTAAGGATCACTGGTCTAAGCAAAAGTCCCCGCAAAAGATTTATTCCATGGGGAATAAATACAAGGATTTGGAAAGTTTATAATTGGAGTTTTGATGTAAAATGAAGACCAGAATTTGAATATCAAGTACTCTTTATCCACGGAAGAGTCAAGGCAGTGTTTGAGAAAGTTAATGCCTAAGCAAAATCTTCACCGACTAAGCAGCCAGTGAAGATTGCTTGATTTGCTGTGGTTTGATTTAAGTTCACAGAGCAAAGAGCTTGGAGGCAGGAAATCAGTTGGCTTGGAAAGGAGATTGCTAATATGTGTGTCTACGTCGTACATTATTACTTACTATATCTTTACAAGTGTACATAGGTGGTCTCATTTTAATCCTCAAAACACTACTTTTCTTTCTCTTCTTTCTTTCTTTCTTTCTTTCTTTCTTTCTTTCTTTCTTTCTTTCTTTCTTTCTTTCTTTTCTTCCTCTCTTCCTTCCTTCCTTCTTTCTCTCTCTCTTCCTTTTCCTTCCTTTCTTCCTTCCCTCCTTCCTTCCTTCCTTTCTTTTTTTCTTGTACCAGGAATCAAACTCACAACCTTGTGCTTGCCAGGCAGGCACTGTGCCTCTGAGCTATATCCCCGGCCCAGTGCTACTTTTCAAAGCTCAGAAAAGTTATAACTCTTTCAAGCTTTCAGAACTAATGCATGGTGAAGTTAGTTTTGAGCTCAGGTCTGTCTGCCTCCAAAGATGGCTTCATTGCTTCTTTTTTTTTTTTTTTTAAGAGAATTTTAAAACAACATTAAAAATGATACAGAATTTCAAAACAAGATGATAGGAAATTAACAGTGGTTATTATATTGCATATTGTTATCTTGAAAGTAGTTGCTCGGATTACCAGGTATAGGCATGCAAAATTGATCAAACAGTATAAGCACTAGTGGTTCCTTTCAATGAACTAATAGAAATTAGTAGTACAGTGATCTTAGCTATCTTGTGCAAATATACATATCTTTCTTTCCTCTTCCTTCTTTTCTCTTTTCCTCCATCCCAGTTGTTCTTTCCTTTTGAGCAGTATTTTTCCCTTTCACAATATCTATTGTATCTTCTGGATCTTATTTATTCTTTCAGTTTCTTATAGGGAGACAATATGATGTTTACACATGCAAGTCTGATTTATTTCACTTATGAGTATGGTCTCTAGTTGCATCCATTTACCAATAAAAACCCCAACTTTATCTTTCTTTATAGCTGAGTAGTACTCCATTGTATAAAAATAACGCATCTTTTTTTACCCATTCCTTGGCTGATGGGCATTTGTAGGGTCTAGGAATGCATTGGGAGCTGGTTGGAAAAAATGAAAAAGCAAGTGTTGCAACACATTGTTAAGTAAGAGTAGCCAAAACACGAGGAGGTGAGGACAGAAGAGGAGGTAATTTCAAAGTGGCCAACTGGAATGACAGTCCTGGCATGTTTTTAGCTACAAATAACCGAGGCTCCCTCGAGAGCATTAAACAGGAGACACTTTTGTCACTTGACAAGAAGTCTAGAGGGAGATGGCTGTGGGCTTTGGGTTCAGTGGGTCTGTGACATCAGGATACCTGGGTGATTGGCTATGGCTATGGCTCTGTTTCACATTCACTTGCCGCCTTCTCTACTCCTTTTATTAAGAAAACACAAATTTTCCACTTATATTCACCCCTCACAGCCATCCTAGCTGAAAGAGAAACTGGGTAAGGCTGGGTTTAGATATTACAGCATAGCAGTACAATTCATAAGCACCAGACCACAGCGGATGGATAAAGAAAATGTGGTACTGATACACAACCAAGTGCCACTCTGCCATAAAAATGACAAATTGAGTTTTTTGTAGGAAAATAGATGCACGTTGAGACCACATTAAATGAAATAAATCAGACACATGAGCTTAGATAGCACGTGGTTTCTCATACAAAAAACCCAAAATATAAATAAAAGATAAATGAAAGATAGATAATAGGAGATAGGGAGACAGATCTTTTGTAAAAGGGCAGGAGACTGAGAGATGGAGGGAGGAGAGAGAGAGAAGGGGATAAACATTAAGATGTGTTGTGTACATGTACCAACTGCTCATGAGGAACATAGTCATTATGTACTGCAGCATGTACTAATAAAAAAACACCGAAGGAAAAAAAGATGCACAAAGGGCTTTGTAGCAGTGTGGTGGGCCCGCCAAGCAGCCTCATGGAGTCCTCTTTCATTATCTGGAATAATAACACCAAGTTTGCAGTTGTGAGGACTGAGTGAGTGGAGCTGCAGAAAGCACCTTGCACAGATTGGGTACTGGGTAAATGTTGCATCTTTCCTTTAACAAATGCATTTTTGCATTCAGCGTATTGAGCACTTACTTATGTAACAAGCATGAGATAGATGCTGGGTAGACCAGGGAAACTCAGTGATGATGGGCCCTATCTCTATGAGGTACAGAATCAAGGAAGAAAGACAGGTATCAAATAAGCGTTTAGGGGGAGCCTTATGAGATTGCCATTTAAAAAAGACTAACAAAGACCAAATGTCCTAAGTTTTGAACAGGTCGATCTGATAACTGTAATGATACATACGTATGAGGGATGTCTGGATGGGAGAGAGAAGGAAATCTTAACCTAGCCCGTGGGTCACATAGGCCCTCCCCAAAAGTGAGTCTGCAGCACTGGCTGATGGGAGAGAAACCAGCCTTCATTTTGGGAATTGTATTAGTCAGCCTTTCCGTTGCTGGGACCAAATACCCACCACCTATGACTTAAAGATGGAGAGGTTTATTTGGCTTACGCTTCCAAAGAGTTCAGTCCATGCTCAGCTGGCTCCAAGGCAGGAATAACATGATGGGAGAGGGTGGTGGAGCAAAGCTGTGTTGTCCAAGTTCATGGCTACCCAGGATCAGACAGGGGAACAGTGCTGGAGAGGAAGGGACCAGGGGCTACATACCTACCCAACGTTATGCCTCCGTGACCTGCTCTGGAACTAAAATCTGGGCCATACAGGAAGAGACAAGCAAACCTATCCTTTATGACTCCAGGGATGAGCTCTGCAGGTAGTAAATGACTGATGGCTGGACAATTGCAACTATTCCCAAGGGGATCTGTATCTCAATGTACATTTCTGATAGTAGGATTTTAGCATAGAAGGCTTTTTAAGAGAAGGGGCAGTAGCTTATAAATTGACTGTAAGATCGGCACTCCTAACAGATACATAAGGGTAGGAGGATTTTTCATATTCCAAATGATACTTAAAGTAGAGAGGTGTTTTCTTCCAACAGGGCAATGCCTTCCAGGGCCCTCGGAAGGCAGATATTGTGGCAAGAAAGAAGATCACTGAACTGATCCATGTCCAGGCAGAAAAAATTTTGGCATTAAAGGAAGAGATTGCTCTTTTGCGTAAGAAAGGGGGGCTTCTCCTCCCACCCATTCAGACTTCACAGAATTAATGAGGCCCACGGACCTTTAAGTTTGCTGTTTTCTCAAATCCACCCGAGATTTCTAACATGTTCACTGAAAGCTCTGTCTCCTTGTCACCCACCACCATCCCATTGCAAAGTGAACTTCTCTAAAACTCTAAAACCAGATCCTGTTGTGTGGTTCTTAATAACTTTTCTCCAACTTGGTCATGTTAGAACTGAATGCAGCACCCATCTAAGGACTGTGGACCCTACGGGACTGGATGTAAAACCTCCCAAGGTGGTTTCTCATAATTCCAAGAAAGTATCTGTAGTATATTTTGTTTTAGGAAAATTTATTTTTCAGATATTCTTCATTTTTAGCCTTTGGCAAAAAGGTGGTCATTCAGCCATCCATTTGAAAACTTCCTTTTTTAGGTCTTTGGATCCTTAGAAAATAAGCTTTGTTTTCATTAAATATTCTCCAGGAGAACACAAGAGAAATTATTTCACCAACACTATGTTAGAATAAGAGATGCGAAGTAGAACTTGGTATTGTTGACTTCACAAAGCAGTTATCTGAGTGCTCAGGACCCAGGAGGTGCAGACAGGCACAGAAAAGCAGTTTCCTTCAGCCTGCTTTGGGTTGGCAGAAAGCAGGAAATAAACCAGCTTCCCGAATCCCTCACACATTTTGCAAACTCCCGTGTTCTGAATGGAGCAGAGGAATGTGTTTTGCAAAGGGACGAAGGCAGCTTTTCTCAGAAGAGTTTTGTAAGTCTGTCAGTATTCTAAACAGTCCCCATAGTGTCTCACGTCCCTGTGCCATCTTCTTTGAGGGTTTATTGAGTCACTTGCTGGGTTTGATACAGATCAGGAAGACAGGGAACAGAGAGCCATCTCGCTGAGAAATCTTCTCTAAGAATCAATTTGATGATGTGTAACATTTTCAGACTTTTGGTCTGGGGAGTAATTGTTCATGGAATGCATGGTCACTGCTACTGAAACGTGGTCTCCCAGACACTTGGTGTCCTGTTAGACTGTGGAAGTTTGCAGTCAGCCACCTATGGGTCTATACTCTTGGGCGACTCCTTTGAGCCTGTCCCAGAATATTCATCCCTTCCTGAGAAGGAAAGAGGAGGAAGGCAATGCCACATGTCATAAATGGATAAAGAAACCGCAGTGTCAAGCATTCCCAGTTCACGGTTTGTCTGCTGAAGCTGCCCCTCCAAATTATACGCAGGACTTGCTTTCTTTGTGTGTTGGAATACTCTTAACTGTAGCTGCCTAGCCTATCGTCTGAGATTCCTTCACATTCCTATTTAAGAAGTCAGAATGATTTGTTGTTTGTAGCTATCACCTACAATCTTGGCTGCAGTGGCTTCTCTACTGGAGAACATCTTCTTATGCTGTCTGCCCAACTCTATGTGTCTTTCAAGTATTTTTAAAAATGTGCTAGCCGCAGCTCTGGATTGCACATTTTTTATTGCTGTGTAGAAAATCACCCCCAAAGTTAGCTGGAAACAGCATATTGTGGCACCTAGGGTAAGGCAGAGAGTGTTCCTAGGGGTCAGGAACCTGGGATTAGCGTCCCTGGTTCAGGGTCTCTCGCAGAATTGCAGTGATGCTCTGAGTAGGGGCTGCTGCCGCGTGACACTCGCCAAGAGGCTTGGGTTTCTTACCGCACAGGCCTCTTCACAGGGCTGCTCGTGGCCTGATTTCTCCAGAGCCAGTGACCCAAGGCTGAGGGAGAGATTGGGAAAAGAACCCTGGAGAGTGGAAGCCATTTCCACTAGCCTCAGAAGTGACAGGCCATCATTGTCACCACATGGGTCACATGAGCCAACCTCGGTGTGATGTGGGAGGCACTGAACAGACTGGGAAACCTTGGGGATCCGTGGCTGCCGTTGTCAGGCTACTTTCCACAGGGAACAACTGGTGGGTTTCTGAGGAAAACATTGAGGCGATACTACCCTCTTCCTAGCTGTCAGAGCCATGAGTTATGTAATCTTCCTGGGCCTCATTTTATTATCTGACAAGTGCAGAATTTGGATAAGCTCTGAGCCCTTTCCCCGTCTAAAATTCTGTGATCTTCATTGCAACAACAGCAAATTTAGTCCAGAAAAGAGCCATGTCAAGGATTCTGTGCGGATTTCACCTTACAGTAAAACTCCTCCGGATTGTATTTTCCTAGTTGGAGCTAGACGAAGTCATTAGTTAAATCTACAATCCGCAGGGCTTCATCCACCATGCTTGGAATTTGACAACGCAGATAAAAACACTTGATTATTTTATCTTTAATTGGACCAGGTGTATCAATAGCTTTAGTTTCATTTCTGCTTGATTCCAGTTATGGCCTTGAATCTGTAATTATGTATGAACACCTGAGTCTTTGGGAAGCGTCAGACAAAAAGCGCACGGCAGGGTGTAGCCTGGGGAAGGGACGGTGGAAAGCTGTGCTGCTCCCTCGACTGGTGCGCTGTTCTTTGCAGCTGGCGCTGCTCCGAAGCAGCCTGACCTGTGAGGTGAAACGACCTACGTGCCTGTGTTATTTGTAGACTGTTAGGATTTGACCGTGTATGTTTTTGGAACTGGGGATGGAACCTAGGGCTCCTGCACTATTGAGCCACATTCCCAGCCCTTGTTATTTTACTTTGAGAGAGGATCTGGCTAAGCTGCCCAGGCTGGGCTTGAGCTTGGGATCCTCCTTCTCCAGCCTGCCAGAGTGCTGGCATTACAGGCGTGCACCACTATGCCTGGCCAACTTGGGCACTTCGAACTCTCGTCCATAATATCAGTGAAACTCAGCACAGGACACAAAAGATACAGTGCAGCCCAGCCCCCGTGTTAGCACAGTAAACGGCGCCACTCACTCCCGCCAAGGAGACCCATCTCATCAAGGCTCAGCCCGCGGAGGAGTGTGGGCCCGCACCGCTCTCTACCACACCCACCGGGTCCTACTCTTCCCACCAGTATCCTTTGTGGTCGAATCCAAAACCTGAATCTGAAGAAATACAAGTGCAACGAAACTGGAGAGCAGAACTGTCTCATTTTCTGGTCTGACATTTAAAGTCCAGTGTCCTAGCTTTTTCCTCCTTTCCGGAAACTGGCTAAGGTGAATACACACGTGTGCGCCATCTTACAGGTCTCAGAAGTGCTTTGCCTTTCCCAGGACTCATACTGCTGCCTTTTTTTTTTTTTTTTTGGAGCTAAGGGGCTGGGGATTTAGCTCAGCGGCAAAAGCGCCTGCCTGGCAAGCGCAAGGTCGTGAGTTCGGTTCCTGGTACCGGAGAAAAACCAAAAAAAATAAAAAATAAAAAAATAAACAGCCCTAAAGCAAATGCTGGCTGAGAGTACCCCTGGCATCAGTGAGGCTGAGCTGAGCGTGGGGACTGAAGATGGGGCTGGTGG